GTTAATTCTCTCCTTTAGCTGTTACACATTTCCATGTGAATTAGTTGCAAGAAATTGGAGTTAGAACAAGTAAAAAACTTCTACCTGATAAGTTTGAGTATTCTCATTACCTCATTGCTGGATAATGTATGGATATTATTGGGAGAAGTTACATCTGATCTCGAAGCAAAAGAGCTCCATCACCGTACGAACTGAATTGAACTGGATTGAGTGATGGAAATTCATTTGAGGGAGAACAGCAAACACATGAGCATCACAATGAAGTACCTGACTATTACTTATTCAAGACATTGACGGTATGGTATATAGTCTATACACACTGACGTTACGTTGAGCTAAATTACAAGTTTGTCCATAGTTATTTGCAGATGAAAAAATCGAAATATTTGTTATTTTAGGAAATCAGTTTCATTAAGGAAAAAGTCATTATTTATCACCTGTGGGGAGGGGTCGAGGGATTTTATTTTGTTGGGGGGGAAACACATGGTTTTCAGGGGCAAGGGAAGGGACAAGAAGCGTCTAAAAGAGCTTAAAGTGGGACTATAGAAAGTTGACTATTTATGAGGGGGAGGGACACAGTGGCAAAATGAGAGCGCATGTTTTGCTACTCGAGCCATACGCGCTCATTTCGCCGCTGCGTTAGCATATGTAGAAATTGTTGGAAGATCGATGGCAGGAAAACCTGGATCAAGTCTTTGTTTGACCTTCACAGTTTACGATCTTAAGAAACAATTAAGTCTAATCATCTTTGTAAATGCTCCGTTTACTAATTTTTGAGGGGAAATGATGGGACTTTGTCTTCTCTTCCCGAGTTTGATGACACAATTCCGTCAAGAAAATGTATGCTGCTCACTAATGAAAGTTCTTCCAAGGGAACTTCTTTTCACGTCATTTGACCCTTTCTGTGCTTAAAACTCCATCTCTGTGATTTCTTTAGACGTAGATATGTGATATCTGACTTTCCTGCATTATATTTAACATTAATACTTAAAAAACAGAATCCTCTATACGAAATCTTCCAGGAGTTAATGATCACAAATGTCTTCCACCAGAAGGTGAAACTACTCTAAAATCCGGCAAAAGTTTTCATACAACTATGTCAAATATTTGACAAAAGTCCCAAAAAAATAAGTTTTAAGAAGATTGATACACATAGTGACCAGCTCTTATTACAAGAAATCTACTAAATCATTGAAACTATTGTATGTTTGGATTATCAATCAATGATACTATGATAATATGACTGGACTACGCCTTTTTAACATGAGAGTACGGTCGCCTATCTCTCTCTCTCTCTCTTTCTTGATTAAGACTTTCTCGAGTCTCTTTTTCGCTTGCAGGGTCTAAAGAATACCAGGACATAAGAATAGTATACATATTACAACAATCATCCTGCAGAGACCTACCATACACCACTCCTACATTCCGTCAACTCACTGCGTAAGTATCTAAGTATTGCATACACTTCTTGCTTTAATTTTCATGCCTTACGAAGCCATTTTTAGGCTTAGGGCAGGGCAGTGGGCTGACAACCCTGTACCGTGACAAAAGATCCTCTAACGGACAAGGCAACAAAGGAACCACCTACACCTGTGCGCTAAGTTAAGCCCTTTGGAATCATCCAAAATGCCACTGATCTCGATAGAAGTCCTTAGCATCAGCAATGACTAAGGCCAGAATAGGTTTCTACGATGTACGAACTAAGTTTGAAACGAGAAAATTGGCACGAGTGAGGCTAATCTGTTTGCTTTGACAGTCATAAGGGATATCTTACAACACTCCCAATCCCTACTGCCCCAAAACAGTCTACACTTAAAAAGAAAATACGCTCAAAGTGGTTGCCTGATAACCAGTGTTTACGAAGATGGTGCGCCAAACTCCTGATAGAGCTGGGCCAACTTCTCGTAACACTCGCTCGCATCTGGTCGATTATCAGGTTTTTCGTCCCAGCAACGTTGCATCAAATCCTGCAAACCAGGTGGAGGCTTTTTTGAGCCTTGAACATGCGCAGGTCTTGTACCCTCAAGCACTTTTACGAAAAACGTACGCACATTTCCTTCCACATCAAGAAGGGCTCTGGTACCATACCACATCTCCCAGAGCATTACACCGAAACTATAGATGTCTGCTTTGTGATCGTACAAACAGGACTTGATCACTTCCGGAGCGAGATATATAGGAGTTCCAGTCATGGTATCCGTGATTGCTTTGGCTTCTTTAGAAACACCGACATCGGCTACTTTAGCAATATTTTCTTGCGACAGCTGTGGGAGAATTAGATAAACTCCTTGGAAATTGATACATTTTTAATTCCAAAGTCCAAAAACTTCGACTGTTACAAAATTTAAGTCATATTATAAAAGGGTTGTCGTCAGGAAAGGCCGAATAGAGATAAGCAAAGCTCTGTTATTAAAAATTAAATCTGTCGCTATTTCCAAAATATCTTTGAAACGCATTATAAGCAGTTTTAGTAGAAAGTTTTAACCTCTTTAAGTTCAGTTATTTTTTTTTGTGAGTTTTCCACAAAACGTTATGTATTGTAACCGCTTGTGGTTTCCAGTACAAAAATTTTCCTGTAGAAACCGTGAGATTACAATCCCAAGATTTCTCGAAGTGGAACCCGAAACAGACGAGACCTCTTAAAAGTAGGCAAGGCGTAGTGAAAATGAGACACCTGCAGGTGTTAACTCGAGATGCGTTGGTTTGACGTGGAAAACAATAAATCTGATGCTGACCCTTCAAAGTACAGGAATTAGATCGAAAACTAAAGACAACACAGGATGTTACTGTTTGGTCATCCAGGTGGCAACCCCAACTAATTTCAGTGAGAAGCACAAACACGCGGCTAGTATCCAAATCTAAATACAATGACACTCAAGCGAGTTGATAGCGTGGTCTGCCAGAGGTATCCCACGTTGCAGGAAAAGCAGGAAAACTGGGTGGAAGCGAGCGAATTAAAATTCAATGAAGTTCGAGACGAGTCTCAAAAGACGAAGATGATTATAATTACAAATAGTCATGATAACCAGTATTCCCAATTTTTAACTCACCAATATATTTTCCAGCTTGAGATCTCTGTGAACGATACCGTGTCTGTGAATGTATTCCAAAGCATCGGCGATGTCTTTTGCCCATCCGATCACATCTCGCGCAGCTGTAGCAGTTGATGACTTTCCAGGTTTATTATTTTCATCCCGGAAAATGTGTCTCATCAAGTTTTCCTTGCAGAGCTCCATCACCAGTATTGCTTTCCGCTTCTCCCCTTCCTTGCGCAATGCTGCACCATAGAATTTTACAATAGAGGGATAACTCAGTTTCCTACATAAAGAAAACGTAGCGTAAACAACCTACACTCATAAAACAGTATACATATTCTCTATAATGTTATCCAAACATTTTCTGATACTGAGTTGATGACGTGAATTGACCACCGTAAAGGGTTTAAAAGCTGATGTTTCGAGCGTGTTAGCCCTTTCTCAATCGCTCTGACCAGGGGCTAACAATTTAGGGTGGCCAATTTACGTCATCAACTCTCCCACCTAGCACCAAAGATTTTTAGAAACTCACCCCATTTATTCATTCTCTAATACTGACAGGAAAATTTTAATCATCGATAAAGAACTTCTTCTGTTGTCAATCATTTCACTTATTCTCATGACCTTCATGCTTGACTCAGCGGCGATGATATAAGGAGCAATTGGGTGTTAGTTCAACTTAAGCGTTCGAAGGGTAATAAATTGTTGGGAAAATGAATGGTGATATGTCTCACTGTTAAGGTTTTTCCTAATTGATATCCCAATGTGCCTTAAAATATACTTAGATTCTGGGTGTTCTGAAAGCGTCAGAAAAATATCCTGCAATTGAAAAATAAATCTTCTTATTACGATGAGCTTCTTGAACAGAAAAGAATTTTACGACTAAGAAAATATCTCATTGGCTACCGGCCAGATTATATTTAGTGCTTCCCCAGGGTTTTAGGTAGGTTGGGCCTTGTTTCGTGCTCAATATAACATTTCAAGATCCATAAATAATAAAACCAACCTGAGTGTCTCTGCTTCAGAAAGGAAGCCACTAGCAGTACTTTCGTTGAGCTCCTCGCTCCACACTTTCACAGCAACATCTACGGGTTTATCCTCTCCTTGTATCTTTAATTTTCCTCGATAAACAGTTGCGAATGCTCCCCTTCCAAGAGGTGCATGGTCTTGCCACTCCAGATCGTCGCAGCTGATGTCCATGGTGCGAACCTCTTTGATGCCAAACAGGGCCATCTCATCCCTTATTTGTACACTCCTCTCGTGTAACGGCTTGTAAAGATCTTCTACTTCTTTCTTAGAACGGGTCTCATCTCTCAACTGTTGACACAACATTTTGTCCTCTTCTATGAGCTGAGGAATCCGATCTAGGACCTGCTTAAGAAAAACCTGAGCTTCTTTAAGCTGTTCCATCACGAACAACTCTAGAAGCTCTTCTTCAGCTGCTTCATCCAGAAACTCTAGGGAAGCTTTCGCCATAAAGGCACACTTGTCTTGGTTGTACTGTCTTGTTTTATTCCAGTTTTCCATCTTCTCTTTAACTGCTATGGCACCAACTACCGGGACACTGACCACTAGGACAACCAGACCAACTGGAACCCAAATTGGACTTGTGACCCCAATGATTACTTTTTCGGCGACGCTAAAGTCATCCGATGCCAGGAGGTCACTTGCTGAGCTGGCAGCATCTCCGGCTAGGACAGAGCCCTCTAGCGTTTGAAGTTGACCTTCGACGTAGCTGAACCTGTCCTGAAAGTGTTGAATCAAACAGGCGCGAACATCGGAAAAGACATGGTTCTTTTCTTCCCATTCCTCTATCATCCCTTGAAGTCGCTTCATCAGCGCCTTTTGGATGTAATTCTCAGTCAGTTCCCAGCTTTCTTCAGTATGTGGAACGTCATCTAATGTCCACAAAGAAAACTGCTGCATAACTTCTGGAGACTTAAGGTATGTGGAAAGTGCAGTCACAGCGTGGCCTGTCTTGTTTTCGAGGTATGACTGCAGCTCTTTGCTGAGTGTACCTTGCTGCCCCTCAATACTTTGGAGGCGGTCAGTGATAAACGTCATTCTCTCTATCAAATTTTTACGATCATCGGACGAATGACGAATGAACGCTTTCGTGTGGAGGGCCATACGTGCAAGAAGATAGTCAAGCCACCTGAGAATAAAGGACATTTTTTCAATTGTCTTTTATATTTTGTCATTATATTTATTCATGCAAAGCCAGGCTGAAGAGTTTCTTGGCTTTTTTTTCTTGGCACCGAGTTAACAGTTTATGCACTGTATTACCTTCGGCTAATGCTTTTGTGTTTCCTGAAATATACATTTCGCGCAGCCAATCAAAATAAAGATATTTTTCATTCCTATTCTCAGTACTAAAACAACATTTTAAACTGAGATGCAACTTCTTGAATAATCATTTTGTCGCTAAGGATTCAAAGCAATTTACCTCCACTGAATCTGTAGTCTTGCTTCAATACTTTTCAACACCATGGACTTGATACCATTCATTAGTTTAGCAAACTCTTCCGTGACTACTCCAAGCTTCTGAGCTTCACTGGCATCTCTTGCTGACATATAAATGATCTGAGATTCTGGATCCAGAGAGGGCCAACACTGTGTGAGTTTCGTCACGATATAGTTCTTCACTTGATCAGTTTCTTTTGGCGGCAAATGGTCCCACTTGTTGCAAACGAATATGGCACAATTTGAGGAAGATTCCCTTTGTTTGTCAAGGGATACCTGTCTGGCGTGTTCGATAAGTTTTTCTACCTGAAGGCAAAGAGACAGACTTAGTTATTTGTTGAAACATTATGCCTTAAGTTACTGCTCTGGAGGAGCAACTCATGTTCGTTAAATTCCTTCTTCTAGCACTTTGACGAAAAGTTTTGAATATTTAAGTTACTCTTACACATCATAAAAATAGAGGATATAAAAAAATGACACGATTTTTGCAGCGCACTTTTCTTTTAATTAGATGCATATTTGCATTCACCCGGGTTTTCTGTTGGAAGTAAACTTTGTTTTTTGTGCTTGCAAGCAATAATGGTTTTATCCCGTAACTGTGTTTTCTCCTGGTATACCAGAGATGCAGGTTTCTCATATGTGTATACAGAGCTGAAAACGGCATTTGTTATGTTACAGTAGTGTGAAGACCCTTTTCTGGGGTAGGGTGTGGGGAGGTAGTGCCATATATAATTGGCTACTATTTCAGTACTTATTACTAGATACTACTTTCATTTTTTTTTTTGAGTATCGACTTGATTAAATTTTGTTTTGCGGCTTACGGGTGGTAGCGGGGTGAGTCTTTTGCCAAACAGGCTGTCTTCTTATGTTTTCTTTTTCTTGGTTGACAAACGTTTCAGGCTGAGATAGCCTTTAATTATGAACAGCCCCAAGTACTAGGATGATGACACTTAGCCAAAAGAAAATAGAAAGTCACTACCAAAGATTATTATCAGATTAACTATTAATTGTATGAGGTTGGAGTGGTTCTCATGAATGTGTCAAATATACTTTAGCATATTTTGTATACTATTACCTCCCAATTTGTATATTTCCATTTAGAGTTACTGGGCCAATACACTTTATTCAATACCTTTTGATTTATTGGTTAGAGTGGTTTCACTAAACCTGATGAGTACTAATTAACTTTTAGTGTTTAGAGTAATTTTCACTTTCCGTAAAAGAAAAGGGTTATTAATGGTTAGTGGTGTACCGTGAATTTTTTGTTTTCTTTTGTTCTTTATCAATTACTACAAACTAAATGGTCATTTCTTTATTTCATGGGCATATGAATATCACTCCAAAAGATGCAAGAAACAAAAGGTCACAAAGCATTTAGCATCTAATAACATTAATGTAATTTATCAGCAGTACCCAGGCTTATTGAAATCACTCTAATCAAAACCACTTTTTTCATTGAGCCTCATTCTTGCAAGAATACATCTGTCTGTTACAAGAAAACAATGTGAAATATCGCCTGGCACGATATCTTACCTTTCTTATACTTTGACGAATTCTTTCACGACAGTTAAACTTAAACTTCCTTTTATTTAATATTTTTTCAGCTTTAACATAACAGTACAATGTAGATGAAATGGGGATACACGAGAGACTACGTGCATAGACAAATTTTCTAACCTTTCTGCTCTTGTTCCCTTCGTATTGGTATTCTGCTTGGTTCACGATCACGTCTACATACATGATGAGATTTGCCTCTATGCTTCTCTCGATTAACATTAGATAGCCTAGTCGATATAGCGTGTTTCTCGATGAAAGGTTCACTCATAAATGTTCGCTCAGAAAGAGGTCTTTCATAGGGTTCGCGGACCGACCCGTTCCGAAAACGCTCGACATCTTTTAGTGTGGGTGTACCCCGAACGATGTTTGCATATTTTGTATGCGTTTTGTGCGTATCACACACAGTGTCGGTGCTGGTTTTGCATCGCGAAAGCTTCTCCTCGTCCGCCATCTGCCATGTGCTCATAGGTCTAAACGTCGCGCATGCGTCCGAGTCAAAAGGTTGCGCATGCGTGATGAGGACTTAACTGCGATTTGCCACCGAACGAAGAAAAAAACGAAGCCGGAATTTCAACTCGGGCGTTTCCTTTGGAAAATTTTTGCAATGAGAAGGCATTTCGCATTTTAAAGTGCCTTACCCTATCTCGCTGTATTCCACCGGCGTTTTCACTGTTAATGACGTAAATAAATGCGAAAGCCTCTGGAAGGTACTCCTTTACTATGTCATCCATGATGGTAGATTCGCCAATTCCTGGACTGTCGACTATTACGATATTTTCCTAAAAGACAAGTAAAACATACGATGTAACAAGCAAAATATTGAACATCAAAGCGATCTTGGCTTCGATCTTCGATCTTCAAATCCCATACAGGCCTGAATTTTTTTGAGGCCATATTTTCACTACTGCTTAAGTAGTGTTAATTACTGCGAAGATCCCTTTCATTTTCATTTATTCACGGTCATTGAAGCAAAACATTGTCCTCGAGGATAACACTCTAGAGTGCGTTTCGATTGGTTGTCATAAGACCAGACCCAAAGTAATCACAACAATTAATCAGAGCAAAGGAAAACATCACACAATACAATGAAAACCCGAAGAAAAAACAAGAAAACTCTTTTCAGGGAAAACGCGAGTCAGTTGCGATTGGTTTTAGTTTTGAATATGCATGGTTGATGAATTGGCATGAGTTTTCTGGACCAATCACAGAGCGATGTTAAGTCCGGATTACTCTCAACTTTCAATCTAATGTCCTCTAAATCTCTTCGTTTCAGTGACATTTTGACATCCTTGGCGAAATTTTTCATCAGCATTTTGTCAGACGTGACTTTCAGTCGATGCTGTTGTTACTCAATAATTATTGACTTAAATAAGGATACATGAAAGAGATGTGAATAACTATTCAGTTGAGATGTCAACAACCAATCACTTCTTAAATCAGTTCTTGTCACAAAACGGCGACAAAAACCAAGTGAAATTCCAAATAACGACGTGCATAATCAGTTACTTTGCAGAATGACGAATGATTTGGGGAATGTTAGAAATTTCTCTAGCATCCTCAATAATAACTGAGCTTGCTCATGTCTAACCTTCAACAGATTGTGTGGCCAAAACAACTCAATCTTTTCGTAATCTGAACCCTTTTCTCTCTTCGTCTTTAGGTGGACGTATTCGGAGATCTGTCGAAGGTAACTTTGCTCGGAGGCTTCGGATGGCTCGTCTAAGGGGACAGTCTTTGTAACATCCCCTAATCCTTTGTCTTTAAAGTGCGCCACCAGCTTTGGTGTATCTCCATATCTTAGTTCCCAGATGGTGGATGTGGTACTCAGAACGGAGTAAGGAAGAAGCTGCTCTCCAAGGATAAGATTTAACAAAGTGCTCTTTCCTGAACTTGTTTCGCCTGATAAGTATAAATAGGTGAAAATAAGGAGGGAAGAAAAAAAAAAACATTATTAAGAGTGGTTAGATTCCACCAAATTTACGTCGAACGACGTCTTGGTTGGTTTGGACCAGCAGATTCTCACTTTATCCACTCATTTTTTCTAGGTGTATTCTACTTACTACTGACCAGGCTGGCCAAGCTCAGCTGCAACCTGGTTTGAATGGAGGGCCTGTGTAACTAAGAGTGAGACGTTTGGGAAAAGTTGTAGGTAAAAGGACAGGTCAGTGGAGCCCTTATGACATACAAGAACAAAGTAGCAAATTGGATAATTGAAAAATGGTGAATAAATAAATGGGTGATCTTTATTGCATCAATTAAAGTTATATAATATAAATGATGTGAGATTCAGGGTTATTTTAGAATTTAAAAAATACTCGTATTACTGTCAAGTTTGATAAAAGGATATTAGCGATAAAGTTCTAACTGTTAACATAACTAAAGGGAGTATATTCAACGGAAGCATAATCGAGGGCGGGAAAAATATACTGAGAGTACTTTCGCCGTTCGCCGTATTTATCGTACTTCATGACTAGATCATTGGTCTGCTAATTAGCTGAGGTTGGATGGTGTAATAACTGAGTGAAGCCTTCTTTTCTTTTCCAGTTTTGAATTTAAGTATATTGGGTGAGGAAGTTGCCGAAACTGGAACTTAATATTAAAAGCAGTGGTGGTCAAATTGTTTATTTATAACAAACCTGCAACAAGAACAATGTATTCTTTTTTCAGCAGATTTTGTTTGTGGAAAGCGATTTTTTCCTTGAGGTTCCCGATGTTCTGTTCCAAAAGGGCATCAACTTTTCCATCCATATTTTGCAAGCAAACATCCGTGCGTTCGTAGAAATCGAGCAAGGTTGCTCGTTTTCTCTCGTCTTCTTTCTTTGCCTCGGTCAACACTGAAAAGGCCTGATGAATGGCACAAAAAAAACAATTGCTGTGCATTATCTTTCGCCTGTGTAAATAAAAGATTACTTTTTGGCCTCATAGGTTAATTTAACCGTTTTACAGTCATTCTGGAAATCCTAAGCGATCGAATAACATCACTTCTGTATACACATCGCTGTTCTGAGCGCAGCCTAATTAAGGATTCATTTGGCTGGTTTCAGCTCCAAAACTGTCGCAATGCTATTGTTTGTGGTACATTACCCAGATTACTTATTTAAACATGAATGTATTATGTAAACAAAAGCAAATTTTGATGTTTAGCCACAGCAGCAAAGGACTCCAACTCTCTACTGATAATTACGAATAGTGGAAAACATCTGTGGCTTCCTTTTACTGCAGAAAAGCATCAGGTCACTCTAGGCTTTAAGTCCGTGGTCATTCATTTACCAGAAACTATTTAAGCATTTCTAAGAAAATAAAGAAATGTAAACATGGTACAATCGTCAACATTTTCCCAAATGGTTAACATGTTTCCGAACTATAACCACAAAGCGCGAGGAAAAAGCAGAATTGAAGCAGATTTCACCAAAATTTATAAATCCGCGATGTTCTAAGAGCCGTGTTATCAACTTGAACCCTCAAGGCTCGATCGATGCTCGATCAAGTTTGCTAAATTAAGAATATTTGCATGCATGATAACCTCTCTCTGTGGAAGCAAAACTTTTAGCCGCCCTTTTAGATTTCTCTGCTTACTGTTAAGTTTGAACTTAGAGAAACATTTGGCGGGTGAATGCTACGATTTCCGTCCATGGAAATACGGTTTCTTCTTTTACTATTCATATCTAAGATGTCATCATTAAACTGAGATCGCCATGGGATAAAATCGCAAACGATGGCTAACCTAGAATCGAGAGAGCTGTTAAACAATTCGTGACTTAATTTCACGATATGGTCTGTGTCTACCATTTATTAAGGGTCACATCTAGGTACTTCCGCCATTGTACTGAAAATGTCGTTTATAAATCGAGTTTGCTGGTTGTCCATATTTTAAAAATATATTGTAGAATTCTCACCTCCTTTGCTGTCCAACTTGACTTCTCCTCTGACAACTGGAGTGTCTCTTTCACTTTTGCTTTCATTTCGTCCAACGTTGTCAGCCCTTCGCACGGAATTTTTAGTAACTTCAATATGTTTATTATCTCCATGATGTCCATCTTGTCCATGTCTCGCAATGCACTCATGTTGCAAATCGATAACTTGAATGCTTATGATCAAAATTTCGTCAGTTTCAAGGTTAAAAAAAAGCTTTGAGAATTGCGAAAAGGAAAAACTCTAAACCTTTAACAGTTTCGTTTCACTTATCAAGTCCAATTCACACAGGAGGTCTGATTACTGTAGTGCATTGTCACGGATCGCTGCCACTGACGCCATCGTCTTGTCTAGCAGTCAAAGCGTGACTTATCACGCAATAAGTAAATTTCGAGAAGAATTATTAAAATCTCGGTATAGATACATTGAGAAAGTTACGGGAAATTACATTCTGTTGATTACAATCTTTTTTATAATGTTTGTCAGAGAGGAGCGATATATCCCAAAAATCGCAAGTCCTCAGAAATTGAGGTTAAGCAAATCGTTATTTCAAGCCCAAACTCTAATAGGACTCAAACTTTGGTTGTATTTTTCTTTATCGTTGCTGACTTTTTTTTCGTTTATTTTATATATTCATTCGCAGTATCATTTCTTTTACTGATTAGAACCAGCAGAATATAAACAGTCTATGTACCACGTGGATCGTCAAAAAAGTTTCATGCTGTGAAGCATGTGGTTTGGTTGTCGGGGTAAGCAAGAGAGGCAACGACGCTTCCTTGTGCATTTGGCTAGTGTTGGCCTCTCTAGCCTTCTGAGTTCTCAGGTCAGGGTTATTTTGTAAGGGAATACTTCGGCAACAGAACCAGGAAGTTGTTTACTGTATTTTTCCTCCTGATATCAATGATGACTCCTCAGGTTATCGAGACGTTAAGAGAGAAAGTTCCAGGATGAAGGCTGTCTTTGAGAACTAATCTCGCAGTGGATCGCGCCTTAAGAATAAAACCATATTTGGAGTTACTTGGCAAATGTTAAAAATTACGATATTTCCATGTGATCTCAGCCTTAAAAACAGCACTGCATAGAGATTTCGTGTTCTCTAGCGACAAAGTATACTTCTCAGTTTTTAAAAGCTAAGTCTTTGTTTTTTTTTCCTGAGGTCTACCGTTATTGTGTGTCTTTCCTTTAACTTAGACAGCGGATTTAAATAACAGAAAATTAATATTACAAGATGACAATGATTGTGACATGTCTTTGAAAAGAACCTTACTTTTCATTGTCACGAACATGAACTTAGATGCATATTTCCGGTTGAGTCTCTCCGGGATGTTACGGTGTTACGGGATGTACCTTTATTTCCAAAACCTGGCTAGAAATTTCTGAGATGTCAATTTTCGGTCAAGGAGTTGATCCTATCTTGTTTCGGCGATTTTTGTTGTCAATGACCCACTCTAAAATTAATATTTAAAGTAATCTTCGAGGTGCTTCAAATTTTTTTACAGTTTTCTTCTCGGCCGAAAATCGACTTCAATCATTCAAAAACGAACAATATTTAAAGGTATATCGTTAGCAGGTGTTGGAGGTAAACCTTTGAATTGGCCGTCATAAACGTTTCATTTACCAGTGTATAAACCGTACCAATTTCGTATGCAAATGTGCACGTCTCAGTTTTGAAACTCGGCCCCCATGATCCCTGAGCGTTTTCACGCCATTTGTACCTTTAGAAACTTACGCTGTTTCTATATTTCAAAGTGCTGCAACGACTCGTACTATCGATTTATTTTACTCATATAGCGAGTTCCTTTATCCGAAAAACTTTTAAGTTTTGCTCAAAAGCAAATCATTATATCTGTGATCCAGAAAAAAAAACATCACTGATAGCTGTACATGTTGAGAACGATACCAATGACGTTTATATTGGTAAGAAAAGTTGAGGTGCCAAAGAGAAAAGAAATTGTTTGCTCTTTTATGCTTTTCTTTTTTTTCCTGATTGTGAGACTGTGTTACAAACCATGCGATGACAAAAAACACTTTCTCTTGCCTTTTTAAATGCAAAAATGATATACCTATATGCAGAAAACATTTTCTTTAGCTTTTATGCGAAATCATTTTCTGGTGCCTTTACAAATGAGTTCTTGTTTGGCAACAGTCTACCAGGTACTGTATTCTATCATAATACATGTTTCCTTGTTTGTCACTCTTTTCTACTAGCTATAGCAATCAGAACGAGTTTTTTTTAATCAGTCTGGCAATTGCTATTGTTTCTCAGTTACTCTATCTTTAAATATGAAATACGTTTAAGATGATTACGTAATAACTAGTGTTCATAGAGTTGGCGCGCAAACGTCTTGGGAGAGCGCAGACAGGAGCTTGTGACACTCTGCCGCATCTGGTCGATTTTGGGGTTTTCCATCCCAGCAACGCTGCATTAGATCTTGCCAGCCAGTTGGAGGCTTGATAGCGCCTTGTACATATGAAGTTCTTACACCCTCAGCCTCTTGGTCCAACACATGTTCTGCTTTTTCAAGGAGGGCTCTCTTACCGTACCACATCTCCCAAAGCATTATACCAAAGCTGTATATGTCAGTCTTGTTATCGTATTCTTTGCAACGAATCACTTCCGGGGCAAGGTAGGCATCGCTTCCCGTCATGGTGTCTGCGATGATCTTAGCCTCTTCAGAAAGGCGAAAACCAGAGACCTTAACGACATTTCTGTGTGAAAGCTTTAAGAAGAGGTGAATGATATAAGCACAGTTGCTATGACCAAAAAATATTTTCGGGTCTTTTAAGAGCTACAAGGCCCCTTCTGCAAAATTTACCAATAGCATTTACAGTTCGTCACTTGACACCGTGAACTATTGATTAAAAAGTATTTGAGCGGATCTTAACAATTATTACATTTAATTTGTAACTCTTAATTATTTGACTAACGTATTAGATAATTAAAGATGAACTGACCCTCACAAGCGACTGAGATTGAAGCAAATGTAAAAATTAAATTCAGACATATTTGAAACTCACCAAGATTTTCTCCAGCTTGAAGTTGCGGTGAACAATACCCTGGTTGTGTATAAACTTTAGGGCAGCAGCTACGTCCTTTGCCCAGCACAGCACATTATTCTTGGCGGAGGTTTTTCCAGACGATTCAGGAATGTTTTCAGGATTCTGAAAAATGTGATTCATCAAGTTTTCCTTGCACAATTCCAAAACATGTATCACGCGCAATTGATCGCCTTCCTTCAGCAATGCTGTTCCATAGAACTTGACAATAAAGGGAAAGCAAAGCTTCCTGCAAAAGATATAGTTGCATCGACCTTTATTCAAGTTCGTTTGGATTCGAAGTACCCGAATATTTCGGCGTTTTTCAACTGCTATGTTAACATACCGATCTAACTAAAGTATCTAATTTTCTATAGTTGTCACATCACGTTAAATTTTTCTTTAGACAGCCCTCTTTTATTTATTAAATTCAACTATATTTATTAATTGTCATTTGAAAAAAATTTTAAATGTAACTAACCTCAGTGTTTCTGTCTTAGAAAGGACGTCAATCGCGTTGTGTTCGTTTAGTTCTTTACTCCACAATTTCACAGCCACCTGTGTTGGTTCGCTCTGTCCTGGTAACCTGAATGTTCCTCGATAAACTGAAGCGGATGCTCCATTTCCAAGAAGTGAAGCTGGATCGTCTTGATCCCACTCCAAGTCATTACGACTTATTTCCATGCTCTGTAATTCTTTAATGAAAAAGAGGGCCATCTTTTCCTTTTCTCTCACACTCATCTCTCTTAAACGGCCATAGCATTTTTTAATTTCATCTCTAGAGCGGGTCTCATCTCTGAGCTGCTGACATAGTATTTTGTCGGCGGCTAAGAGCTCGTGCAAACGAGATGAAACTTTTGTAAGGTAAACATGAACATCTTTGAGCTGCTCTTTCACGATCAGCGAAAGCTGTTGCTCTTGAACCACTTTGCAAAGGTATTTATGGGAGGCTCCCACGATGAATCTACGTTTGTCTTTTCCATATTTTCTTGAACGTTTCAAATTTTTTACTTTCTCTTTAAGTGTCATGACACCAACAACTGGAACACTGCTAGCTAAAGCTGCTAGGACAAATGGAACCCAAATTGGACTTGTCAGCCCCATCATAACTATTTGGGCCGCCCCGAAGTCATTTGAAGACTGGCAAGTATTTGATCCACTAGCAGCAGCAGCGTCCGTAATGACGAGGTTCTCTAGGTATCGGTATGGGAGTAGATTCTTACATTCATCAAATCGCTGGTCGGACAATTGGACCAGAGAGCTGCGAGTGTTGAATAAAATTTGGTTTTTTTCTTCCCACGCGGTAATCGTGTTCTCAAGTCGCGACCTAAATGCTTTTTTAATATGATCTTCGGTTACCTCCCAACTTTCTCCAGCGTGTGGAATATCTTCAAGCGTCCAAGAGGTAAATTTTTCCATAACTTCACAAGACTGGAGGTGTTTGGAAAGTTCCCTAACGGTATCGTCTGCCAGTTTTCTGAAATGCTCATTCAACTCGTCTTCAACTGAGCGCAGCCGCTTCTCAACGTAACGAAGGCGTTCAGAATGTAAATCAACGTAACGAAGGCGTTCAGAAAGTAAATCAGAGACGTCTGTACGATCGGTGAGCGGGCAAAGAAGATCCATGACCATTTTCATGTGGTGGGTCATACGTGAAATGGCCAGGTCAAGCCACCTGAGAGATGAAAATATGCAAATGTCAAGTTCATTTTTCACCAAAATGTTTATTGAATTTATTCTTTATCATTCCAAGTGGGTGAAACTTTAAGATATAAACTAGTCGAATTACAAACTAGGAAGAAATTCATTGTTATTTTGGCGAATTTGAGCGTATCTAGGCTATATGGGTTTTAGCAAAGTTTCTAAATAAGCACTTTCCAATAACCATCTAATTTTCACTGTGCAAATGAATGAATCTCATTAGATCATGACACGAGGGCAACATAACCTGGTCTTCCTAAAAGGAGTCAATAATAAGATAGGAATTGGATGCAAAAGAGTACATCACTTAGCCAAGAAAAATGCTAACTTCAGCTAGGTTAAGATGTAAATTAGGACCATAATACCCTCATCGACTTTTTAAAGACCCTCTACAGAACCTACCTCCACTGCATTTGCAGCGTTGCTTTACTGTTTTGCAAGGCGGTGGATTTAATAGCATCCATCAGTGACGCAAACTCCGCGACAACTGTTTCATCGTTTGTGGCGTAAGGCGATGAAATGTAAATGATTTGAGAATCTGGGTCTATTTCAGGCCAGAATTCTCTGAATTCACCCTTGACGTGATTTTTGATGGAATCAGCTTCTTCTTGAGATACTTGATCCCAATTGTTACATAGGAAAAGAGGAAAAATTGACGAGGATTCTGGATGGTCAAGACATACTTTTCGGAATTGTTTGATTGGTTCCATCATCTATGAGGACGAACGTACACATGGAGTTAAAAGTTCCTTCGAGGGTAATAATACTAATAATCATAATAATAATCATAAAAATGATAACAATAATAATAACAACATATTAAAAACACTCAAGCAAAAGCTGTTATAAATGATTGCTCTGGGCAGTAATAATAATGATGACAAAAGTAATAAGTAATCAGCAGGTGCAGTGCAGGTAGAGCACTGCACCGGTATCACAGAGGTCATGCGTTCAACTCCCATACAGGCCTGAATTTTTTTTTAGGTCTTATTTTCACTACTGCTCAAGCAGTTTTCATTATTGCGAATATTGCTTTCATATTCACGTCTTTATGCGCAGTTCACGTATATAATTTTCATATATTTACAGTCATTTATTCATCACTTCACGGGTTTACATTGAACCAACATAACGATCAACTCCCAGTTGGCCTGTTAGCTCAATTGGTAGAGCACTGCACCGGTATCGCAAAGGTCATGAATTCAAGTCCCGTACAAGCCTGATTCTTTTTTTTTTTCAGGCCTTATTTTCAATACTGCTCAAGTAGTGTTCATTACTGCGAAGATCGCTTTCATATTCCCGTCTTTATCCGCAGTTCAATATGTGATTTTTATATATTCACAGTCAATTATACCGCAGAGTTAAATAAATATATGTTAAGTAAATAAATGCCCTGCCATGGCAAACGCTGCGGGCACATTAACTTCACCTGTCCATGCAGCTTACCCTTCGTTGCTGCGCTGAGCTGTCAATGACGCAGATAACTGCGAAAGCTTCAGAAAGGTACGCTTTCACTTTCTCGTCCATGATGGGTGATTTACCAAATCCTGGACTGTCAACCACAAAGATTCTTTCCTAGAGGAGAAAACGATGAGAGATGAGTGAATCTTAAAACAGGTCAAACGACTTTTTTTGAAATAAGTTTTTTTGTAAATGTTGTTGTTGAAACATCCCTTACTCTTTATCTGATCAAGAAATCAAGTTGCAACTGTGCTCCCGAAGGATTAGATTACGTACGAAAACGATGCATGTTAGGTGTCAAAGATAATCTGTCAATCAAAAATATATTGCAAGACCTAAATTTGCCAAGAATAATGCTAGATGGTAGCTTTTAGCAATCCTCAAGTCACCATTTACAATTTATACCCTCAGCTTGCTAATCACCAACCTTAAGCAGGTTGTTTGGCCAAAAGATCTCAATCTTATCAAAAACTGAACCTTGCAGATCTTCATTTTGGAAAAACCAGGAGATTTTTTGAAGAAAGATTTGTTGAGAGTTCACAGCCATCTCCCCAGGCTGGATAGTCTTTGAAGGAAGGCCTGTTTCAGGATCTGCGTCTTTATAGTGCGCTACCAGCTTGTGGGTTTCTCCATATCTTAATTCGCGGACAACGGAAGAGATGCCAAAGAAGGAGTCAGGGAGGAGTTGCTCCCCAAGAATCAGACTCAACAACATGCTCTTTTTCGAATCTCTTTCACCTGTCAAGAACAAACACTAGTTTAAAGAAAAATGTGGAATTATTGGTGTTTAACTTTCCAGATCCATTCTCTTTGACGAGTCCTGCGGATTAGGTTTAAACTGCTAATTTCTCATAAACATGCAAAAAAGGTCCTTATCAAAAATATAAATCAGTCTCACGACCACGAATGACAGGAATCTAGCCGTTAAAAGGAAACTGAAACAAAAGAAACGTTATAAGGACAAAACAGTGAAAAATATATAGTTTGCTGAAGCGAATAGTCTTGAAAACCTGGCAGACACTTAGACTTATCTCCCGCATAGAGAAAGGGATGAAACATGCAATGAAAACTGTTCGTCGTGGGTCTTTATTAGTTTAAGAAATCGCAGTACATACATTTCTGAAAGAGAACACGTTTTGTGATCAAGATGAGTCAATTCAATTGAAACAAGAAAGCAACAAAAACCAAAACAACAACAAAAAATATGCAATGTTTCTGTCTTTCGAGTTTTTAGCGTCGGCGTTGCAACTATACGTCATCAGGGCGTTTAAAGTTATGACCACAGGCAAAGGATTTGACTTCTCAGTGAAAAAAGTCTGAAAGTTGTTCGCTCGGCCATGCGCGTTAAGCAAACCTCATGACAAAGGAGGGGACGAGTATGGAAAAGCTGCGTGACGTCTGTCAACATGAGCTGGTACGCGGTCCCTGTTAACTATTTACATGCAAAAAGTGAGCTTCACACGACTTACTGCAGGACGAGTATCGATTCGACGTAAGCCAAGGAAATTCATTCCAGAGATTAAACGTGATTAAGTTCAAAAGATTGGCCATGACGGACACGAAGGCATAGTTAAAACGGAGAATGTATTGCATAAAAAGTGAAGTCTGGTAGACATTGGCATGAAACTGTGCGAGACATGTAGTGTCTGTCAAGTATCTCGTGTAAGCAAGTGGCGTAGTCCTGCGGCGGAGAGTTTGCCTGAGCGAATGGAGCAGTTGGCAGTAAACTTAAGTTACGACACGCGCACATGCGTCAACTTCCACGTAATTATGAACTTTCAAAACTTTTTCAGCAACCAACCTGACAAAAGCACGACGTATTCCACTCTCTCTAATCTCTGTATGTGATAGGCCAATTGGTTCTTGAGATTTTTGACTCCCAGCTCCAGAAGAGCGTAGTCCTTGTCACTCATCATATTTAGACAGGCCTCTGTGCTCACGCATAATTCTAGCAAGTGCTTTTGTCTTCTCTCGACTTCTTCCCTGGCCTCTGTCAACGCTAAAAAGGCCTGATAAGTGGAGCATGGATTGATTAAATTTCTTTGCAAAAATATCAGTATGACACTAAAACTTACTAGACTTGCTATACTATTTTACTGTGTCGGTCACTCAATATTAAATAAAAATTACTTCAATGAGGTGGTTTCTTTGGAAACAGCTCATTTCGGTGTGTTGACTGATTAAGCTGGCGTAGGCACGGGCACTTTTCCTTGCATGCACATTTCATTCTACTGTCGAACCTGTATTTAGAGCTCACTCATGAAGAATGACGGGGTAACCGTTTAATACAGGCTGACCAGAAAATGACTTGCAAGATGCTCGTGCGTGATATTTTTCCTAAAAGTCCGAAGAAGATAATTTTAACGTTACAGTATTTAAGGGGAATTTACAACCGCTTAAAACAGGATGATTATTTAATACGGTGCAGCTTAATGACCTTAATACAAGTTTGACTGTACTGACATACTTGAGCTTAGATTCGAGTTCGACTTTGATTTGGAATTAATTGTTATTCTGGCCGTAAACTTGCCAGAATTATTCTTATTCTTGGCCGTAAACAGGCTAGAATCAGAAATTCGGTTTGGGTTTTCCTCCGTAGGAAAATGCCCAATAGGCGCTTCGTGGCATTTTTTTAATTGGCATAAACCAATGTGGTGGCCATAGCTTGGGAATGAGGTTAAGTTTTGGCATCGAGTGTACTCAGACTTGAAGTGCTGGGCCGCGCATAAACGTTAACCAAGCTTTCTTCAGTTTACACTTATCTTTCGAGTCTTTAAAATATCTATTTGAATTAACGCACAAACCATTACTGTGAATTGGTAGAATTGTTAACGCACTGATAAAAAATAGGCAGTAAAGACTGCATATGGCTACTGATATAGCACAATTTTTTGAAGCATCGAAAAGAACCAGGGGCTGTATGATGATAAGGTAGCGTTAAAGAAGATTTGTCACGCATGCTAAACGGAAACCTGCCACATTCCACATACTTATGAGAGCCCTGTTCCACAATAGAAAGTTGATTCACCAATGTAGTGAATAATTGACACTCAACTACAAATGAAATGGTAACAAGTTATCATATTAATAATAAAATAATAATTATTATAATCATGATGATAATGATAACAAAAGTTATAGTAATAATAACTTATAGGGGCTAGTTCAAGTACCTCACCTTTCCTCTGAGGGTCTATCCCTAAGCTCCTATTATGATTAAACTAGCGTTCTTTTAATATTCAGATTTGCCTGTTGATTATAAATAATTTTCTCATTTCATTGCAATTCCATTTTTGTGAGATTTTTGTTTCACACAACAAGGCATTCCGCGTTGTAGAATATTCCGCCATTCCACCACTCCATCATTCCATTGAATGGCGCAACCCTGTTGAACTTAACGTATCGTATTTCGGACCTTGCTCGCTTCGCAAATTTAGGGCCTGTTTACATGGAGGTGGGGGACCCCAGGTAGGTGAGGTAACCCGCCTTTCCATATGATCTCTTATTAAATCTTGATCACGTTTACATGATAGGTGGGGTAACCCGCCAAGGCGGGTTGCCCGGTCTGCCAGGTAGGGTAAACCTGTCAGCCGGAGTGAGAATTTCCCATGTAAACGTCTCAAGGTGGGGTAACCCGCCTAACTGGGGTCGTATTCATGGCAAAAAGCTCAAAAGTTAAACACGTGTGTTTTAAAACTTTGTACATTTCCTAACCGTCTGGCGAAAATCACCAGAAACCGCAAGGGACATACAAGGGGTGTTCACATTTCGGAATATTTAGCGTTGTAAATCGACCATATTTCGTTTCACAAACTAATCCTTATAACGTATTAAGCCTACGATTCGCGTAACTTAACACCGCGTAACACAACGCGTGACGCTTTCATGAACAAACACAAATGTGTCCGAGAATTGATCTTTCGTCTTTCTCGAGATGTGAGCTTGGGACGCCTATGCTGAAACTCCCTAATTGCAAGCGCAACAACAACCTAAAGAAACCTCACCCCAGCACCCCGGGGTTGTAAGATTACATGTAAACGCGTTTTATTTTTCGACCACGGCAAGGCGGGTTACCTCACCCACCTGGAGTCCCCCACCTCCATGTAAACAGGCCCTGAGCCGCTCTTTTGAGCATTTGTCGCTGATTGAAAAGATAAAATGATCTCTTTTCGAATAAATCTTCTCCACATTATTATATTAGCTGCATGATAAGCGTGACACAAATTCAAAGATCAATCAACCTCCGAATTACGAAGAGATGGGTTTTTTTCCTCTCTTTTCATATCTATAAAAACCTTTCAAGAATTGCTGTATTCAGAAAACTAAAATGTCCAGATCCATCAATGTTTCCTTTGCCGGCGGAAGTCAAAGAATGTTTACAAAAGTCAATTCGATTGACAAACTACACACCGTTTAACCAATTGAACCGTTGTATAAGCGTCTCATCTTACATGCTAACAAGGAGATTTGCTGTTCATTTAAGAGAGAATTTTTCTGGAGACCGCGTGAAATCAAAAAAATGTGGCACATGCCTAGAAAAAGCCCTACCTTCATACTTCGCTCAAAGATACCTTAGGGTAAGTCTATAAACGTGGTATAATTTTTTTGTTCAGAACTGTTTTTATTTTCTAGAAAATCACCAAACACTGTATCGAGCCCCAACCGCCATAACAGTGGCCGAAATGAAGCCGACGAGTATGGCAACAAAAACGTTATTCTTCAAAAGCGCAAAAGAAAGCAAATCTTTCCGAATATTATCTATTTGTATACGAGGTATTAACAAATGATTTGAACCTAATAACGGGATTATTGATATAACTATGAATTATTGGCGAATATTTGAAAATCGCCAAAATTTGATTGATTAAAATTTCATTTTGGAGCAGTTTTTCAATAAAAATTTTTCCTACTCGGTATAACTCGGAATCACTTGAGATGAGCATTTCTGAAAATTGGAAACGATGTTCTTTTCAAGGATATAAAAATTAATTTGGGGCTCTTAAATACTGCGAAGAAATAGCCCGATCTATTTCGTGCAAATCGCAACGCCGCCGTGTAAACAACCGCAGATAATCCAATTATTCTTTTATTATCGAAGCCATAATTTCTGCAAAATCTTACCGCTTTGAGCTGTGCTTTATCAGAAACTCAATATGTTACCCTTACCTTCTGAAACCAGTGATTAAGGAATGATGTTTCCATTATTTTTGTTTCAAATCGCCATGTTCACTTGAAAAGTGTTTACAACGTCCGGCTTGACCATTTACAATACTCGAAGCTGTTCATAAATCATCGCAGACCATCGCACCTCTTGACTTATTTCTGCTTCCATACAACTCCAGTATATACAAAAGTCTTTTTTGCACGATAAACCAAGATGCTTTGATTGCTTACAGTTTCAGTTAAGAAACGTTTGGCTCCCCAAATGGCACAACGATGTTCACCAACGAAGTCGTGTGTCATCACTCATGTTTGTCACGCAATCACGCTAAACGTGCACAGGACACCCAGACAGGTATTCGTCTGCAGACATCGCTGTACCGAGCGCAGGGCCAACTAGTGTTATGCTTTAAACAAAAACCTGCGCGAATTCACTTAAAAAACGCTGTAGATCTCTTTTGAGTGCTTTGAATCAGTGCCATTCTGAAAAACTACTTTTTGACGTTTTCGTAAATTTAGTCACCCCCTGGTACTGACTATACATGCGTTGTTATCGACTCTATTTCCACGACTTCGCGCTTGCAAAAGTTATATTTATCAAAAGGCACTTTAAGTATGACGTTTAACGGCAAACGGCAAACGCAAGCTTGCCTTTCATTTGGTTACCTATTTATGGAATTCTTAAAAAAATCCTGCACAAAAAATAAAATAAAATAAAATAACACATTCACGACAAACACAAACCTACTTAATTCCGTGTACACACGCCTAAAGACAGACGACAGAAATTGAATTTTTGACGTTCGCGGGAAAAACAAACGTCATGCGTAACCTCTCAAATGACGAACTTCCCAGTTAACTAAAACAACTGGAAGTTAATTGTCTAGTGCTCCGTGATTATATACATCACCTACGTGTCCCTAGTGGATCGATAAGGTCTACCACGACTTTCAGTGGCAGGCAGACAGGTTCCACGGTGAGGCGTTCTTTTCTAATGACACTGGAAAAATTCTACCGATTATGTAAACAGAACAACAAACTAACAATTTCGTGCTTTATCTAAGCACTTTGAACGTTAAACTTCACTAAAAACGTAAATCTTCGAGTCACAAAGTCGGCCGCTTGTATCAGGCCGCGAGACAGTACGTGTTATTTGATATCGCCTGACTGTAGGTCATGACAATTACATTTTTTAAAGCTTTGGACTTACACAATCTCTGTTTTTTGTTTTTGTTGTTGTTGTTGTTTTTTTTAATTTTCCTTACGATAGCGTGCTCATCAATTTAAACCTTTCGATTTTGTACCTTGATTGCTACGATGATAATGGCCATCGCTAGAAACTTGACAGTTTTCTCAACTCGAACTCGGAAAAAGTTGTTTCCCGTCCCTTAATCAAACAATTAATCGGCCATTCTTTGAGATCCCGAATTCTCGACAAGACAGAGGTGGCGTACCCTCGGAGATTCAAGAAATCAGGAAGTTCCTCCATACCAGCTAACTAAATGGGTTTTATAAAGCAAAAAAAGAAAGAAAGAAAGAAAGAAAGAAAGGAAAAGAATACAGTGTCATATACTTTAGGTGTTTTCCTGGTCAATGAAACCAATATTCAAGCTACATGTAGTTCGTCACTGCTGACAGGTACAGCTAAAACAAAGGGCTTCGATCTTGCTCATGTAAGGCTGCTTACGATGAACGGAGATATCGCTGATATCAATGCTAAAAAATAAGCAAATATCCTTCGGCAATGAAATAGAAAAGCTCTTTAACTTGGACTTTGCTGCCATTTCACAAAGATTGTACGCATTATATGTGATAGGGCGTCTAAGCGCCAGTTCCTTTAAAGCCGCATTCGACAGCTCTTGGATTCTTGCTTCACTTGCAGCGGCCTCCAAGTCGTCATCAGACAGTTCCTCGTCATCCTGGAGGGTCTTTTTCGCAGCCAGTCGGGAAAAGAAGGCAGCTATTTGATTTGCTGTAAGGAAATCGTCGCTTGTAAACAGGCGGTTACCACTCGCATCTTTGGCGCTTACCATCGCACGTGCAACTGATGCAGGGTCTGCTTTCTGTCCTGATTGTTCCCCCAGTTTAAATTTGGCAGTAAGATAGGCCTTCTGGCTGGAAATAAATCTCTTTCGTGGGGCACCAGCCCTTAGTGCCCAGCCCATTGGTACTTTTCTGCACGAATCTGGTATGATGTCAAGTCTACTGTTTGCAATAACCTCTGGTACTGAAGGGGTCTCTCCCTCCAGTTTCTCTCCATACACCTTAACAGCTCTGTCTGTTAAGGTCTCGCGCTCTAAAGCTCGCTCGTGTTTACCACAATCTAAGTGTCGCTGCATTGAAGAATACCTTAGGAATATCCGTGTGTGGTATCGCGCTTAAAAAATGCAAACAACGGTAATTTTAAATTCTGGATTTAAAACTTTTTCCCGGAAATAAAAAATAGGGGATAAGAAGGAAAGTAAATAAGAGCGTATTGGTAACCGAGCTTCCTTTCGAGTGACATGTTATTGCGTGACACCATCGCAAAAAAACGAACGTCAATGATCCACTTCATCTGTCGGGATGCTCTGGCTCGTTCTATAAAAAACAAACTTCCATTCTTATTGCGAAAGGAAGACTTGTAAAATGTGAGTGTTCCAAGCTCAAATATGTCCAGCAATGCGACGTTTCCGGAAGGAACCTTCGTGAGATGTTTTCACTGTGATTTGGTATACACCGCCTGTAGTGCTGTACTATCGAAGCTGTTGTCAAGTCTCTTTATAACAAGATTGAGGCAAGGAACCAATCTTAGAAAGGTGTTTTTCGCCAGGTGAGCTTAATAAATCCAGTTTACAATCTAGTATAGGTCAAAGCGATAAGATTTTGTTGGAATTATGGCTTCGATAATAAAAAGCCTAATTGGATTATCTGTGGTTGTTTACATGGCGGCATTGCGATTTGCACGAAATAGACCGGGCTACTTCTTCGCAGTAATTAAGTGCCCCAAATTAATTTTTATATCCATGGAAAGAACATTCTTTCCACTTTGTAAAAATGCTCATCTCAAGTGATTCCGAGTTATACCAGGTAGGAAAAATTTTTATTGAAAAACTGCTCCAAAATGTAATTTTTAATCAATCAAATTTTGGCTATTTTCAAATATTCGCCAATAATTCATAGTTAAGTCAACAAGCCCGTTATTAGATTCAAATCATTTTTTAATACCTCGTATACAAATAGGTAAAATTCAGAAAGACTTCCTTTCTTTTGCGCTTTTGAGGAATAAAGGTTTTGTTGCCCTACTCGTCGACTTCATTTCGGCCATTTTATGGCGGTTGGGGCTCGACACAGTGTTTGGTGATTTTCTAGAAAATAAAAACAGCTCTGAACAAAAAAATTATACCACGTTTATAGAATTACCCTAAGGTATCTCTAAGTGAAATATGAGGATAGTGATTTTTCCGATCATGTGCCACCTCCCACGCGGTGATAAAAAAATTCGCTCTTAAATCGTTCGCTTGTAGGACTTTTGGGTATAGTTATCGAGAAGACCGACGTTGCATATCTCAGGTCGGTCCCTTGCGTAGTTGTATAAAAGACATTTTAAGTTACCTGCGGAGATGGTAGGGTTAAGTCGATTCCAAATGCCTATTTGGCAAGCGTGTTCCACAGATAGTACGCAAGACGTCTGGAAAATTCATATAACCTGGCTACTTACCACCTTGTGCAAAATTACGCGTCCCGTCAGACTTAGGTCTCGATCGGGAGTTGGTAAATAGGCTACCAAAAATCTAGAGAGAGGCGGAGTTTTCTATACTAATGTCTGAGCACTTTGTAGGCTTCCCGCAGTCTGGCGGGACGCGTAATTAAGCACACAGTGGTAAAGGGCCCTTCCGCAGCAGCTACAAGACGCTGACAAAAATTTTTCCTTGCTAAATTTCAAGTGTGCTGCACATATCAGCACCCCCCAGGGAACCCCTATACACAAGAGAGCGAGGATGCGCGCCGGGAGTTTCGAAAACGACCCCTATAAAATTATAAAAGGTACCTGACTCATCCGTGTGAGAGTGGCAACAACTGATATCTACCCCTAAAAAGTACCAATTTAAACACAAAAAAATTAAAAAATCCCAAAAATAAGAACTCCTTTATCGATATGCTCCAGAGGCTCAAGTCAGATCATTAAAATCGTCCTAGTAATGCTTATTTCAGGCATTTTATTGAGCGAAAAACACCCTAAAAGGTACCAGTTGGGTATCTGGTAGTCCACTAAAGTTTGAGACACCGTAAAAGGTACCAGATCACTGCTTTTGACCACTGAAAGGTACGACAAGTATCCTCACCCATTTCCGATCGCCTCCTTCCCCCCCCCTCCCCCACCAACCCTGTCAGCACCTAAAAACAAAAGATGTGATTTGCCAACTACGAGCTGTCAGTCTCACCTCGTAAAATTCATGCTGACAAAATCTGTCCTGCTTCGAGGCAGGACGGCTGTACTTTTTTTGTTTTGTTCGTCTTGACATAATTTGGTAGGGATTAAAATAACTGTACGTCTGCATTTGTTAAACAGACTATTCAAGTGCATCCAGAACTCGATGCGTGCACTTCTAGTGCCGATCACTCCTTTTAGGACATTTCCGCAAGGTAAGCTTTTTTTTCTCACTCACCATTCTGAAATGATTGTGACGAAACGAACAAAAGCCAAAAGCGAGGAATATCGGGTAAAACCCGGCAGATATCGTTGTGTCGATAAATTAATTCAATTGTCTTAGGTAAACATTGCCGATGGGATAGATTAGTAGATTACTAAAGCGAAAAAAACCCATACTTTTCTGACAAAAAGAAACTTGTGAAAGTCACTGCTTCATATCTTTAATTTCAATCAGTCGAAAAGGGGAATTTGGCTCGTGCAGGCAGAGAAAGATTTCAATCGCAGCGTTAAAATTTGATGAATTTTGCAACCGGAAATTTGATAAGGAGTCTATTTGGCACTGGTTTTCTATAACGCCCGAGGTATGCGTTTATTATTCTGCGGAGTTCGATGGTTACCATCACTCTGGATTTCTCCGTGACTCAACCTAAGTCACAAAGTGACTTATTCCTTTTCTGTTGACTTAACCGCAGAACTTACGCTAGTTCCCGCATTTCATGTAGCGATTTCAGTATTTCCAATTTGTAATGGCATCAGCTTGTTCCAAAGTCATGATCTCCATAACTCTCCATGTTAAGTAAACAATGAAAAGCACTCAATAGCGATTTTCCTAAAAACCGCACGGCCTTCAATTCGTTCCCTCTGAACGGCAAATCCTCTCGGAAGTGAATTTTTCAAACAATATAGATTCTGCCTTTCAACAGAAAAGGACAACACAAAGGAAACTGTTATCTTTATCACGCAAGATAACCCATCAGTGCTTAACTGTCAGAAGATATCGATGGGCCATCGGCTTTTCATAGAATATCAACCTCCACCCAGAGAAACATTGCGGTTCTTTCCATCAAAAGAGCGGAAACTATCAGAGGAATTTACTTGCTAGAGTAGGGCTGTAAGTGCCAATATACAGCGATAAATAACGCGGATGAGAGTCGTGATAAATTTGTCTACAGCCTATCATCATAGCTCTAAATCGGGGTTTGAGCCCAAGTCCATCCGGTACCCATTGAAGAAGTTCTTCTTTACAGATTTGACGAGGGAGGACAAACAATATGCAGCTTGACATTCTAAACATATTCGCTTTCTTCGGCACGAGCTCAGAATAGAATTTAGGGAAAGTTCATTGAATTATGCTACACTGATTATCAAGTTTCGCCCCCAAGGTGATTCCGCTATGTGATTTACGCTTGAAATAACGAAATGATAAATGTTGCACAAAGAGCTTTAGTAGTATAATTAATAAGCTCTAAATGTGGAGTATACGTTTGGTTTGACAATCAGTCAACAACTAATAAAGTTATTGGTGTCCATTGGTTTCGCTTTGAATTGCTCTAATAAACCAATTTTTAAACTAAACATATAAATTGCCGATCACAAGACAGTTGGTCGACAATTTCGGCCGATAACTTCAGCGTTTCTTTTTACCGTAGGCCCGGTATTTAAGGTCATCGGTTCTTGATAATTCTGCGACAGTATGGCAATATCAGTGTACCTTGAGTTTGAATCGATACGCAGCCAAAGATGTTTCATTCTTACCTTCTCTGATATTCTGAGAGCCTTTTTCGCCCTCTGTTTCATCTGGTCTAATGTCTGCAGTCCTCCTAACGATAGACCTCGACACCTCATTAGCTCGGACATGCGCTCAATATCGTCGATTTCATCAATGCCTATCGACGTACCCATGTTGCGTACGCTTTTTTAAGATGTCTTGAACAATAAACAGTTACCTTTTACGTTACGTACAATTGGGCTGTTAATCACATACGGGGTTTTATATTTACTCTATTGCCTTACCTCGGACATAGGTTGTCACGGTTGAGTAGAAGCGGTGTTATTGTTAAACCTTCTGAACAGTTCACTAGTTGGAAACAAATCCATTTAAAAGAAATCACACCGCAGTATTGATATGGATTAATTGACTGACTTCCGATCACTGATTCCCATCGTGGATCTTACTTTTCCACAGCTCTCAAAACTGTGTTATTTCTTTGTATATGCTAGATGAATCTGTCAGCAACAGCTATAGACGAGATCGACGGCATTGCAGTAATGTTTCAAACAATGGCGTGCTTAGGAGTTTTGCATGAAGACTTGAAAACATTGGACGATATTAAAAGCGTGGTGAAACAGAAACTTACGATGTTGCCGAAAAAATCCAGTTTCAAGGCAAGAGAGGTAAGGACGACAAGCAATGCGAGGTTAATTCATCTAAGTGTCAAGGATCAGGAAATAACTCAGATAAAATTATGTAGACATCAACACCAGATTAAGTCTTCCAGTTACGTGACAGCTGTTTCCACAAAGCATTAAAATCACGGGGCAGACAGTAATGTTCTTGGCTGGTATCGATCGATTGTGTAAAGTTGTTGCTCTAGGGAAGAAAAGGTTGAGCAGAGCTGTTGATGAAATGAAACTGCCGCTCAATTCAGGAATGTTACTCCAAGTTTAGAGTTTAAAACACTTAACGGAGTTTTCCACTGATTGCCCCCTGCTGCCTTTATCATTTTAGTTTGTGTATTTTAGAACATGAACGCAGCGAAGTATCACATGATCTTTTCGAGCAATTTGAAACAAATAAGCACCCGTACATCTTTGTAAAGAGTGCAACTCCCTTTTACTTATTTATTTATTTATTTTTTTGCGGTTATTAGTCTGTTTTGGATCAGAGTTGAGAGGTACTATAAAACCCTTGATGACCGGTCCGACGGATAATAATGAGTTCTGTTTCCCCAAAACTCGCTGTATCCCTCGGTGCCAGTCATGATGAATTGCCTACTGATTTTCATGTATTAGAAGATCGTGCTTTTGAAAAAGGCTAAGGTAGAGGACAAACGTAAACGAGCGACCTTACATAAATTCCTTAAGGACCTGGAGACTTGTTTAATCAAGCACCAAGATGAAAGACAAACTTCGTGCCCTCTTAGCGCCAAACGTTGGACACCTTGACGACAAAATTTCCTCTCACAAACGGAGTCCGGAGAGAAAAGAATACACAAAATTTTCGTCCACAACAATTCTTTATGTTCCCAAAGTTTGTGAGTCAGGAAGCTGATTTAAATGTATGATTAAACGAGAAACGACATTTTCTCTCGTTTTGTAACGTGATAAGTACAACTGGGATGTTGAAAGAAAACAGAAAACCTTTCAAGTCCGCGAGCCGTTAAATCGAGTGATTTGTAACTTTTGGGGGCTTCTATGGACAACCAAAGTACTTTTATAACTAGGCCATAGTCTCGTACCCAGGCCCTTTAAGGCTACAGTTACACGGTAGAATCTGGGTACGAGATTACATACAGCTTTGAATAGGTTTTGTTTCTAGAAATTGGATAGACTAATCAGATTTCACGTAGTTTGTACAGCTATACTACAGCTTAGAAAAGCTCTAGGACAGCCCTGACAGTTCTAAGCATCACATTTTCTCGCAGCTCAAACCATGATAAGCTAATTTAGAGGAGCTAAACAGGCTAAAAAATAGCTTTTCATTTTAGGTGAGACCAGTTCAGGAAAAATTAACTTGTCGAGTCTAATTCTTGGGGAGCAGCTCCTTCCCAGCTAGATACACTCAAGATGGTTGCACACCTTAAAGACAGGAATCAGGAGACAAAGACGGTCTGTCTTGACAAGTTAGCTAAGATCTCTAGCCATGCAGATCTCACCCTTTGTGCACTCAAAGAAATTTCGAGAAAGGGGCTCGGATTACAAGAAAATTGAATTGTTTTGGCCACACAGCCTGCTGAAGGTCAGTGATCGATTACTTAGGGTGCAATGTATTATAATAATTTTTATATTAAGGACAACTTTTGGTGTTGAATTGAGAAAGCGTCAAAGTGTTCTTGATGAAGAAGTTGCAAAGATGTTGTACCAACAAGTCGATAATTATATATTTGACGTCATAAACATACTCCGGCTTAAGTTGCTAACCATTCAAGGACTTCCACAATTCTCGCCTTAACAACAATTGTACAACAAAAGCAAAAGATTACCTACCGCATATACTGATGACCGAGGTCTTGGGTAATAGTTGCTAGGGATAATTTAGAAAGCGAGCTTTTATGTCAATATCAATTGATAAACGAACTATCATAATGATAATTTTTGATGAATTTCCAGTCTTCTGTTAACAATGCTCCACTGAAGATCTTTTGCGCTGTCACCTCACTGTCCAAGTACCTCACGTCTCCAGATGTTGTGCAAAAATTCACTTCGTGGACGTTGGTTGATACTCTACGGGCGATGGAGATTTTATTTTAAAATAGTCCAAATTTTATCATATTTCAGAGTGGCATATGATAAAAACAGCCCAAACATTCTCTAGCTATTACATTTATACTGCATTGAAGCGAGAACCGCCGCAGACTTAGCAGAAAAGAAGTACAAATGAAGCTTTCCAGTAAGCTTAAAAGAGTCTTCTGCTTCTGTCTTTTGCTATATGCATTATTTCACAGCTGAAACATGAAGTTGATGTCAGGGTCACTAATGTCAATGTTTCTAGCGAAGCCAAGATGACCACAGGAACATGAAGGAAACTTTTTACATTGCCTCAGAAGTGATCAGATTAGGGTTTTACGATAGCAAGGCCGATATCTACAGCTTTGGTATAATGCCCTAGCAGATGTGGTATGGGAAGAGAGCCCTTACAGATAAAGAGGGAGACGCTAGAGTGGTTAGTGGTCAGGATGCTGAACGTAACAGGCCAATGCAAGTCGACTAAGACAGGAAGAAACCCCCGCCTGAATGGCAAGATCTATTGCAGGTTTGCTTGGATGAAGAAGTAGACAAACGACCAGATGCCCTAGCATGTCATCAGAAGTTGGCCATGCTCTACCGGGACACAGCTCCACCCATTTGAACTCTGATAATTTGAAGAGAATCTCTGAACGATTTTGAGAATAATAGTAATGAATGTATATATATATTATACCAAGGAGAATTTTGAAGTCTCTCTAGAATTACAGCAGACAAGATTACATAAAATATATTCTCCTTACCCTATAAAAATAAACACCATTAGTCTCGTTAGCTTCTGAAGGGGGCTTACGGAGTTGTACAATGAAGATGCAGTGAGTAGAGGCAGTCAAATAAATATAGAAGTGAACTTTTTCCACATGATTTCAATGGGTGGGTTTAGATCAAGATTATGTTACTTGGGATTTACAAGTGCAAAGACAGACCTCGCAGACCTCACCGTGTTGTGTGGTTCTCCAAAAAATTAAGCAAAGTCTGTAAACAATCAGATTGTGATGATTTTGACGATTATTGCGATAAGGTAGATGACGATGGGGATGAGAAAGAAAAATATCAATCAGTTATGTATAGAATTGTCGGTGATTTAAGATGAGTTCTTGTTCATTACGATGATACTAGGTATACGACTGTTTTGTAACTTTTTTGTTTCTAAGGGAAATGTTCTCTAAAAACAAAGTGATTAAGGCTTTCCGTTGTGCGCAATGGAAACTTGAAGACTTTATCTCTTAGAATTGCAAACGTTTGTATTTGTTGTCTGAAATATGTTTTTTCGTTCACTTTTTAAATAAAATGGTTATTAAAGGGATATTGCGTTCAATGATAGCCGGAATAGATTTTTGAGAACAGGCTATAAGATACATTTATGTCAATGATTTAAATCTTCCATTAATCAATAAACTGATACAATACTAGAGGTATGAATACATTATATGTAATGATAACTGCAGTCATTGTCATTAAATTCAGACGGTACGACATACATTGCAATTGTACAATAAGCTTTCAAAAAAGATTCACAAACTATGAGAACTCGTTGTGGATATAATTCTAAGCAAAATATTTAACCATGTCAAGCCAATTTAATTTTTTTTCCGCATTCATATAAGAGCTCAGATGCATATGCATCCACATTTTGCAAAGATCGCAGAGCTGAAAAAGATTCTAAAAGATAATCCACAACGCGGTTTTGCTAAGCAACGGCTAAAATTTGCTTTCACCCTTTAACTCCCAAAATCTGATTGTTAATTCTCCCCTTTAGCTGTTACACATTTCCATGTGAATTAGTTGCAAGAAATTGGTGTTAGATCAAGTAAAAAACTTCTACCTGATAAGTTTGAGTATTCTCATTACCTCATTGCTGGATAATGTATGGATATTATTGGGAGAAGTTACATCTGATCTCGAAGCAAAAGAGCTCCATCACCTTACGAACTGAATTGAACTGGATTGAGCAATGAAAATTCATTTGAGGGAGAACAGCAAACACATGAGCATCACAATGAAGTACCTGAACCATTACTTATTCAAGACATTGACGGTATGGTATATAGTCTATACATACTGACGAAACGTTGAGCTAAATTACGACGAGTTTCGTAGCAGTTTGTCCATGATTATTTGCAGATGAAAAAATGAAAATCTTTGTTATCTTAGGAAATCAGTTTCATTAAGGAAAAAGTCATTATTTATCACCTGTGGGGAAGGGTAGAGGGATTTTATTTTGTTGGGGGGGAAACACATGGTTTTCAGGGGCAAGGGAAGGGACCAGTCGCGTCTAAAAGAGCTTAAAGTGGGACAATAGAAAAGCGCTACAGCGATAGCAGCAGCTTCAAGCTTCGTAGCCATCTTACGGCTGCTCAACCTCAGTCACTAAGTAAATTCACGCCTGTTACAACAAAAATTTTTTTGTTGAGTGAGATAGGTGACGAAGAAGGTTCGACAGAGACTTTCCTAAAAACGGCAACTTTAGCTGTTTTGGTTTGAGCTTATCGCCGCAAAATAAAAACAAGCTATAGGAATTTTAAAATGCCGCAAATCTTCATTGTGTCAATATGGATATATTTGCACGCATAAATTTCAAGCGAGTTACAGGCAAACACATTATTTTACCGTTGTGTCGGCATGAGTAGAAAGTGTTAGAAGGTCGATAGAGGAACGTAGATCAAGTCTTTATTTAACCTTCTCAAACTCATTAATAATTCATGCTGAGAAAACAAAGGAAATTACAACCGTGAAGGAGGTTTGGATATGTGATCTTAATTATCATAAAATCTGGTGAACTTTTGCTTTGATTTTCTCCAAGAATTATTAATGGTTTGAGAAGCTATATCAAACATTCGAAAGGGTGTTTCATCCGATATCCAAATACCTTGAAGTTAGTTAAAAAAAACTCGGCTGCGCCTCGTTTTCTCAACCACTTCTCGGTGTTTGGATATCGGATGAAACACTCTTCCTCGTGTTTGATATATTACATCACAGTTTGCGATCTTAAGAAACAGTTAAGTCTAATCATCTTCGTAAATAATTTGTTTACCAATTTTTAGGAGGAAATGATGGGACTGTTTTCTCTTCCCAAGTTTGATCACACAATTCCGTTATGAAAACGTACGCTGCTTAGTATTGAAAGTCCTTCCAAGGGAACTTCTGCCCACGTCATTTGACCCTTAACTTTTTTTGCTTACAACTCTATCTCTGTGATATTGTTAGAAGTAGATATGTGATTTCTGACCTTTCTGCATTATATTTTATGTAAATACTTAAAAAACAGAATGCTCATACAAAATCTTTAAGTAGTAAACGATCACAAGTGTCTTACACCAGATGGTGAAACTAACTCAAATTAACTAAATCAAGATGACAGAACAATATTCGCCTTAAGAATATTCTTGTTCCTGTTCGTTTAAAATAGTAACACGCCAACTATTTGTCAAGAGCCGAAGAAAAACAATAAGTTTTAAGAGGATTGATACACATGATAATCAGCTCTTATTGAAAGAAGTCTACTAAATCATTCAAACTATTGTATGTTTGTATACTTAACGATACTATGAGAATATGACTGGACTATTCCTTTCCAACATGAGAATACGGTCAACCATCCCTCTCTCTTTTTCTCTTGCAAGTTCTAAAGAACACCACGACATAGAGATATTATACATATTAAAAAAATCATCCTGCAGAGATTTAAAGACCTTCTAAGCACCACTCCTACATTCCGTCAACTCTTTCCGTAAGTATCTATGTATTTCATACACTTCTTGCTTTAATTTTCATGCCTAACGAAGCCAATTTTAGGCTTATATATTACATATTGGAAAAATCATCCTGCAAAGATTTAGAGACCTTCCATGCACCACTCCTACATTCCGTCAACTCACTCCGTAAGTATCTATGTATTTCATACACTTCTTGCTTTAATTTTCATGCCTAACGAAGCCAATTGTAGGCTTAGGGCAGGGCAGTGGGTTAACAACTCTATACCGTAAAAAAAATACCCTCTGACAGACAAAACAGCAGAGGAGCCACCTACACCTGTGCTTAGGCTTTACGGAATCATTTTAAATGACACTGATCTCGATGAAAGTCCTTAGCGTCAGCTTTGACTAAGAACAGAATAGGTTTCTATGATGTATGAACTGAGTTTGAAACGGATGAAAATTGGCGCGGATGAGACTAATCTACTTGCTATACTAGTCATATGGGATATCTTAAAACACTTAAAATCACTGCTTTTCCAAAACAGTAAAAAAGTAAATACGTTCAAGATGGTTGCCTAATAACCAGTGTTTACGGAGATGGTACGCCAACTTTCTGATGGAGCTGAGTCAACTCCTCGTAACACTCTCTCGCATCTGGTCGATTATCAGGTTTTTCGTCCCAGCAACGCTCCATCAGATCACACAAACCATCTGGGGGCTCCTTTGAGTCTTCGACATGCGTAGGTCTTGCACCCTCGACCACTTTTTCGAAAAACTCATGCACATTTCCTTCCCCATCAATAAGGGCTCTGATGCCATACCACATCTCCCAGAGCATTATACCGAAGCTGTAAATGTCTGCTTTGTAATCGTACAAACAGGACTTGATCACTTCAGGAGCGAGATACATAGGAGTTCCAGTCATGGTGCCCGTTATCGCTTTAGCTTCTTTAGAAACACCGACGTCGGCTACTTTGGCAGAATTTTCTTGCGACAGCTGTGGGAGAATTTGATAAATTCCATGGAAATTGATACATTTTTTTTATACCAAAGTCTAAAAATTTCGACTGTTAAAAAAAATTAATTCATATCAGAAAAGGTTAGTCGTCAGAAAAGGCTGAATACAAATTAATCAGGCTTTGTCATTAAAATTCAAATCTGTCGCTATTTCAAAATATCGTTGAAATGCATTATAAGCTAGCAGTTTTAATGCAAAATTTTAGTTTCTCTAAGTTAAGTCATCTTTGTTCATGTCAGTTTTCCATAAAACGCTATGTATTGTAACCGCTTGTGATTTTCATTAAAACAATATCCTGTAGAAACTTAGGGATAACAATACTGAAGGTTTCTCGAGGTGGAACCAGAAACAGACGAAACCTCTTAAGAGGAAGGCAAGGCATAGTGATGCGTTAGTTGTTATCTGCAGTCACATTGGTTTTACATGGAAAGTAATAAATTTAATGTTGACCCTTCAAAGTACAGGAATTAAATCGAAAACTAAAGACAATACAGGATATTATGTGCGTTTGCCCATCCAGGAAGCAACCCCAGCCAATTTCACAAGCACAAGCACGCAGCTAATTTCCATATCTGACTACAACGACACTCAAGCGAAATTATAGCGTGGTCTGCCACAGGCATGCCGCGTAGAAAACTGGAAAACTGGGTGAAAGTGAGCGAATTAGAATATGATGAAGTGCGAGATGGGTCTCGAAGGAAGAAGATGATTGTAATTATAAATAGTCACGACAACCAGTAGTCCCAATTTTTAACTCACCAATATGTTTTCCAGCTTGAGATCTCTGTGAACAATACCTTGTCTGTGAATGTATTCCAAAGCATCGGCAATGTCTTTTGCCCATCCGATCACATCTTTCGCAGCTGTAGCAGTTGATGACTTTCCAGGTATATTGCCTTTATGAAGGAAAAGGTGCCTCATCAAGTTTTCTTTGCAGAGCTCCATCACCAGTGTTGCTTTAAGCTTGTCCCCTTTCTTGTACAGTGCTGCACCATAGAACTTTACAATAGAGGGATGATTCAGTTTCCTGCATAAAGAAAGCGTAGCGTAAACAACCTTCACTCATAAAGTATGCATATATATTCTCTATACTGTTATGCAAATATTTTCTGATACTCAGTTGTTGACGTAGATTGGCCACCGAAAAGAGTTGAAAAGCTGATGTTTCGAGCGTATTAGTCCTTCGTCAATCACTCTGACGAAGGGCTAACACGCTCGAAACGTCAGCTTTGAAACTCTTTACGGTGGCCAATTTTCGTCATCAACTCAGTTGATAACGCTTAATTAGCCTGCTATACTCTCCCACCAACCAAGCACCACAGTTTTTCTAGAAACTCACCCCCTTAATTCATTTTCTGATACTGACAGGAAAATTTTGATTATCAATCAAGAGCTTATTCTGTTGGCAATCATTCCACTCATTCTCATGACATTAATGCTTGATTCAGCGGCGATGATGTAAGGAGCAATTAGATGCTTGTCCAACTTAAGGGTTCTAACGTTAATGAATTGTTAGGAAAATGAATGGTGATATGTCTCCCCGTAAAAATATACCTTGATTCTGGGTGCTCTGAAAACGTCAGAAAAATACCAGGTAATTAAAATAAATCCTCTTATGACGATGAGCTCCTTGAACAGAAAAGAATTTGAAGATTCAGAAAATAACTTATTAGCTACCGGCCAGAATATATTTAGTGCTTCCCCATGGTTTTAGCTAATGGGTTTTCTTTCATAAACAGTATAACATCAAGATCAATAAAATAACAAAACCAACCTGAGTATCTCTGCTTCAGAAAGAAAGCCACTAGCAGTACCTTCGTTGAGCTCGTCATTCCAAACTTTAACAGCAACATCTACGGGTTTATCCTCTCCTCGAATCTTCAATTTTCCTCGATAAACAGCGGCGAACGCTCCACTTCCAAGATGTGCATCGTCTTGCCACTCCAGTTCGTCGCAACTGATGTCCATAGTGCGAACCTCTTTGATGCCAAATAGGGCCATCTCATTTCTTATTTGTCTACTCTCGTTGAGTAATGGCGTGTAGAAATCTTCCACGTCTTTCTTAGAACGTTTTTCATCTTTCAATTGTTGACACAACATTTTGTCCTCTTTTATGAGCTGAGGAATCCGATCTAAAACCTGATCTAGACAAACCTGAGCCTCTCTGAGCTGTTCCATCACAAACGGCTTCAGAAGCTGTTCTTCGACTGCATCATTCAGATATTCTTTGGAAACTTTCGCCATATAGGCACACTTGTTTCTGTTGTATCGTCTTGTTTTATTCCAGTCTTCCAACTTCTCTTTAACTGCCATGGCGCCAAGTACCGGGACACTGACCACTAGGACAACCAGACCAACTGGAAACCAAATTGGACTTGTGACCCCGATGATGAATTTTTTGGCGATGCTAAAGCCATCTGATGCCAGCGGGCCACTTGCTGAGCTGGCAGCACCTCCAGCTAGGACAGAGCGCTCCAGCGTTCGAAGTTGACCTTCGACGTAGTGGAACCTCTCCTGAAAGTTTTGAATCAAGGAGGCGCGAGCATCGGAAAAGACATGGTTCTTTTCTTCCCATTCCTGTATCTCCCTTAGAAGTCGCTTCTCCAGCGCCCTGTGGATGCTATTCATAGTCATTTCCCAGCTTTCTTCAGTCTTTGGAACGTCATTTAATGTCCACGTAGAAAACTTCCGCATAACTTCTGGAGACTTAATGTATGTGGATAGTTTTCTGAAAGCGTGGGTTGCCTTGGTTAGGAGGCGCGACTGCAGCTCTTTTCTTACCGTACCTTGCTGCCTCTCAATGCTTTGAATGCGGTCAGTGATAATCATCATTCTCTCCGTCACATTTTTACGATCTTCGGTCGAATTACGAATGAACGCTTCCGTGTGAAGGGTCATACGTGCAAGAAGATAGTCAAGCCACCTGAGAATAAAGGACATTCTTTCAATTGTCTTTAATACTTCGTCACTATATTTACTTTCTTGGCTTTTTTCTGACTGGATTAACATTTTGTGCACTATATTAACTTCGGCGTATGCTTTTTGTTTCTTGATAACTAAATTTCATGCATCTAATCAGAATGAAGATTTTTTTCATTCCTATCATCAGAACTAAAAAGACATTTTCAACAGATGCAACTTCTTGAATAATCATTCGTCGCTAAAGATTCAAGGCAATTTACCTCCACTGAATCTGAAGTCTTGCTTCAATACTTTTCAAAACCATGGACTTGATACCATTCATTAGTTCAGCAAACTCTTTCGTGACCACTCCAAGATTCTGAGCTTCGATGGCTTCTTTTGCTGACATATAAATGATCTGAGATTCTGGATCTAAAAAAGGCCAGCACTCTGTGAGTTTTGTCACGACATGGTTCTTCACGTCACCAGTTTCTTTTAACGGCACCTGGTCCCACTTGTTGCAGACGAATAGAGCACAGTTTGAGGAAGACTCCCTTTGTTTGTCAAGAGATACCCTTCTTGCGTGTTCGATAAGTTTTCCTAACTGAAGACAAAGAGACAGAATTAGCTATTTGCCGACTTTTTTTTTGGTTAGTTCAGTAGTCGCTTTTTTTGTAACGTTATGCCTTACGTTATCGCTCTTATCGCTTTCTTATTCGCCTTCTTCTAACACATTTGACGAAAAGTTTTGAACAGTTACGTTACTCTAACTCATCTTTAAAATAGAGGTTTCAAAAAATTATACGATTTTTGTAGCACATTTTTCCTTTAATTATTTTTGCAATGAGAATGCATTTCGCGCTTTAAAGTGCCTTACCCTATCTGGCTGTATTCCTCCGGCGTTCTCGCTGTTGATGACGTAAATAAATGCGAAAGCCTCTGGAAGGTACTCCTTTACTATGTCATCCATGATGATAGATTCGCCAATTCCTGGACTGTCGACTATCACGATATTTTCCTAAAAGACACGCAAAATATGAGATGTAACAGGCAAGATATTGAATATAAAAGCGATCTTTGCTTTTATTTTCATTTCTTAATCCGCAGATCGCATACATGATTTTCATATATTCACAGTCACTGAAGCAAAACTTTGTCCTTGAGGATCGCTTTCTAGAGTGCGTTTCGATTTTGTCATCAGACCAAGCCCAAAGTAATCACAACAGTCAACCAGAACAAAGGAAAACGTCACACAATACAATGAGAACCCAAAGAAAAAATTAGCGAACTACGTCGAATAATTACTGAACTTGCTCATGTCTAACCTTCAACAGATCGTGTGGCCAAAACAACTCAATCTTTTCGTAATCTGAGCCCTTTTCTCTGTTCGTCTTTCGGTGGACGAATTGGGAAATCTGTTTTAGGTAACTCTGCTCGGAGGCTTCGGTTGGCTTTTCTAAGAGGACAGTCCTTGAGGTATCCCCTGATCCTTTGTCTTTAAAGTGCACCACCAGCTTTGGTGTATCTCCATATCTTAATTCACAGATGGTGGATGTGGTACTCAGAACGGAGTAAGGAAGAAGCTGCTCTCCAAGGATAAGATTTAGCAAAGTGCTCTTTCCTGAACTTGTTTCGCCTGGTAAGTATAAACAGGTGAAAATAGGGAGGGAAGAACGAAAAAAACATCGGTAAGAATGGGTCGATTCTACTTAAGTTACGTCGAACAAGAGAATCTGCTTCCCCGGTCCTTTCCTCCAGAAATCCCTTACAAATCAGCATTTCCCTTCTTCTTCTTATTCGTTTTCATAAAAAACTATTCCTTCTGCTGTCCGCCATTATATAGGTTTCACCTGGAGATCACTGAGTTCGAGGTTGGCCATATTATGTGCCACGCTCAAAAGACAGAACTTCGTTAGAGGGACTATCAATACATGTTCATAGTTGGTCTGAACCAGCAGATTCCCACTTTTTCCATTCATTTATTCATAAGAAGTGTATTGTATTTATTTATTAACCAGGCTGGCCAAGTTCAGTTGCAACCTGGTTTGATTGTGGGTGGTTGGAATTTAGGTGGAGGGGGGGCTGTGTAATTAAGAGTGGGATGTTTGGGAAAAGGTGTGAGATAAAAGGACTGGTCAGTTGAGCCCCTTGTGACATACAAGAACCAAGTAGCAAACTGGATTATTGAAAAATGGTGAATAAATGAATGTGATCTTTAGTCCATCAATAAAAGTTATAAAATTTAAATGATGTGAGATTCACGATTTCTGTAGAATTCAAAAAGCAATCGTATGACAGTCGAGTCTGACTAGAAGATATTAGTGATAAAGTTCTCACTGTTAATATAACTTAAGGGAGTATATTCAACGAAAGCACTATTAAGGGAGGATAAAACATGCTGAGGGTGATTTGCCCTCAGAAATATGGTTTTATTGTACTTCATGACTAGATCATTAGCCTATTAATTAGCTAAGGTTGGATTGGTATGATAACTGAATGAAGGCCTTCTTTCCTTTTCCAGGCTTGAATTTAACCCTTTAACTTTCATGATTGACCAAGACAGAATTTCTCCTTACAATATCAGTACAATATCAAGCAGACGAAGGATGAGAATAAATAAAAATATCATATAGAGGATTATAAGTTGATCCAATACCAAATTCTCCAAACTAACATCACAAGAACTGTATGGCTCACAGTAAGGAGAATTACTAAAGAGATCTTGGGAGTTAAAGGATTAAGTCTATTGGGTGAGGAAGTTGGCGAAACTAAAATTTCAAAGCAATGGCGGTCAAATTGTTTACTTATAACAAACCTGCAACAAGAACAATGTACTCTTTTTTCAGCAGATTTTGTTTGTGGGAAGCGATTTTTTCCTTGAGGTTCTTGATGTTCCGTTCCAAAAGGGCATGAACTTTTTCATCCATACTTTGCAAGCAAGCATCCGTGCGTTCGTGGAAATTGAGCAAGATTGCTCGTTTTCTCTCGTCTTCTTTCTTTGCCTCCGTCAACACTGAAAAGGCCTGATAAATGGCACAAAATGAAATAAATGCTAAGCATCAACATTCGTCTTTGTAAATGAAAGATTACTTTTCGGCCTAACTGGTTAATTTAACCTTTTTACAGTCATTTTAAAAAAGAAAAAAACCTTGTTAATAATAACATCACTTCTACCGTTCACATCGCTGTTCTGCGCGCAACTTAATTTAAGGAGTAGATTGATCAGTAGCACGCTTGCCACGCGCATATGGAAAATTCACGGATTTGCTCAAATCTTTTAAGAATATCTCGGTGCACAATGATCACATCAGATTGAGACTTTCCAAAACTGTTACACATGTGTTAAAGATGGTTTTGGACTAAACAGAGGTAGAATAAAGTATCTTTGAAAACATTGAGTCGGAGCCGAACTGTGAAGTTAGCGACAAAAACATGGCGTCACGCGGAACACGCGTTGGCTTCACTATTCACTGTCTTTTGCCAACTTGAGTTTCGTTTATAACCGTAAGACTTAACAGATGGTGAAAATGGTTTCTTTCTAAGCAAAGTGGCAAACAAAAGCCTGGGAGAGACAGATCGTTTTCAATTCATTGTGCGAGTCATAATTCCTATGTTAGAAAACAATTTACCTCAAAATGTAATGCTCATAAGTTGTTTTTCATTTGCCTTCCGTTTTTTCGGTGTTTTTATTGGAACGTTGTCAAGATTTTAAATTAATTCTGCGTTCTAAACAGTTGGCAAGCGTTGTGGTCTGCCACGTGATCACACTGGTGATTGAATTACCTAATCGTATTGTTTACGACGAGTGAAGCGGAGCGAACCAATGTGTTGACATAGGCAAAATGCACAAATGACAAGCTTTTGGAACGGGCAAGGTTGCTATGTATTGTTTTCATTTGATTTGACGTTGTTGTCAATTTCATTCTCACGATCGAAAATTGAGACTATTCCAATTTCTCATCGAAATAACGTTTTTAGTTATTGTCTGAAACTACTGAATATCTCATGAAAGGTGTTTGTCATCGTAGTTTAAAATGACAGCTGTGTTAATCGTTTGTCTCACGATTTAGTCACATGGACGTGGATCGCGACGTTTCGCCTGCTACACTGAATAACTGTAGAGAAACAACGAGTGCAATTTTCTCCTTTCGAACGGATGAACAGAACGGGCGTCAATCCGTTCGAACGGATGCCGCAGTTCTCCGAACGGACACTTTTAGTTGGCGAACGGATGGAAAAACCGTTCGAACGGATGTCGCAATACTTCGAACGGATGCTAATGTATTTCGAACGGATATGCAAACCGTTCGAACGGTTTGTCGAACGCTTTGAACGGATTTTTTTAGGCGTTCGAACGGATGACGAACGGATAACGAACGGTTTACCTGTTCGAACGGATAACCGTTTGTGTCCGTTTTGCCTTTCACGGTCACAAATATGCATGTATCATGCGAACAAAAGCAAATTTTGATGTTTAGCCATGGCAGGAAAGGTTGCCAACTCTTCGCTGACAATTACGAAGAGTAGAAAAAAAAATCTGTGGCTTCCTTTTACCGTAGAAGAGCATCAGGTCACTCCGGGCTAAGTCCGTGGTCGTTTATTTTACAGAAATTATGCAAGCATTTCTAAGAAAATAAAGAAATGTAAACCTGATACAATCGCCAATATCTTCCCAAGTAGTAAAAATGTTTCCGAACTACAACCACAGAGCACAAGGAAAACCCAGGAGTGAAGCAGATTTCACCAAAATTTATCAATCCTCGATGATCTAAGAGCCGTATTTCTCAATTTGAACCCTCGAGACCCGATCGTTGCTCAACCACGCTTGCTAAATTAAGAATATTAGTATGCATGATAACCTCTCACTGTGGAAGCAAAACTTTGCAATTTCTTATTTTGAATCATTTTGCTGACACCCAGTTGTAAGAATCGTTTATGGAAGTATCAATAAGTAATTAGCCGCCTTTTAGATTGCTCTACGTACTGTTAAGTTTGAACTTAGAGAAACATTTGGCGGGTGAATGCATGCTACTATTTCTGTTCATGGGAATAAGGTTTCTTCTAGTACTATTCATTTCTGAGATGCCATCATTGAATAAATCGCCATGGTGTAAAATCGCAAACGATAGCTAAACTAGAATCGGGAGATTTGTTAAACAACTCGCGACTGAATCTCACGATATGATCTGCCTTTACCATTTATTAAAGGTCACATCCAGATACTTCCGCCATTGTACTGAAAATGTCGTTTATGAATTGAGTTTGCTGGTAGTCCATATTTTAAAAAGATATTGTAGAGTTCTCACCTCCTTTGCCGTCCAACTTGACTTCCTCTCTGACGACTGGAGTGTCTCTTTTACCTTTGCTTTCATTTCGTCCAACGTTTTCAGCCCCTTGGTCGGAATTTTGAGTGAAGCCATTGTGGTTACCATCTCCGTGATGTCGTCGATCTTGTCGATGTCTGGTAATGCACTCATGTTGCAAATCGATAACTTGAGCGCCTATGATCAAAATTTCATCAGTTTCAAGGTTAAAAAAGCTTTGAGAATTGCGAAAAAGGAAAAACCTAGATCTTTACAGTTTCGTTTCATTTATGATAGTCCAATTCACACAAGGGGTGTGATTACAATGGTGCATTGTTACGGATCCTTGCCACTGACGTCATTGTCTGAGCTTGTCTGGCATTCGAAACATGACTAATCACGCAATAAGTAAATTTCGAGAAGAGTTAATCAACGATAGGTCTAGGTACATAGAGAAAGTTACGGGAAATGGCGTTTTGTTGATTGCAATCAATGCTTGTCTTTTTTATAACGTTTGTCGAAGAGGAGCAATATATTCCAGAAATCGCAAGTCCTCAAAAAGGAGGTTTGGCAAATCGATATTTCAAGCCCAAACTCTGATAGGACTCAGACTTTGGATGTCTTCTCTCTTTATCGTTGCTGACTTGTTTTTTGTTTACTTTATTCATTTGTAGTGTCATTTCTTTTACTGATTAGAACCAGCAGAATATAAACAGTCTATGTTCTCTTGTTGGAACCCTACACCACGTGGACCGTCAAAAGAGTTTCATGCTTGTGAAGCCGAATGCGTCATGTAATTTGGTTGTGAAGGTAAGCAAGCCAACCTGAGATCTATCCAGAGTTCTCTGCCGCTCGAAGAATTTGGAGAGAAGAAAGGCAAAGACACCTCCTCGTGCCTTTGGCTAGTGTTGGCTTCTCGCCCTCTGAGTTCGTACACTAAGCCGATATCCATATCCATATAGTTTCCAGGTTTGAAAAAAGTCACTGCCTTCAAAAATCCTCAGTTCCTTGCCCTGAGAGCCCAACCTCATCAAAACATTGGCAACAGGAGCGATTAGCAAATTAATGATATAAACAAGAGAGCCTATTCCCACATACAGCCAACTCAATCCTGTCAACGTATTATGGACATGGCAGTTTAAACATGGTGTATGGATATGCCAAAAGTTTTCCGTTTCCTTGACTAATTATTTTGTAATAGTGTTTATAAGTTGTGGAAAATGGTTGGGTTGAAATATAATACAAAGACTTGCCAGTAGATAGTCAAATGAAAACTTTGTACATATCAATAAAATTTATTGTTGCATTTCATGTTAACATGTTGCAACAACTCCACCCCAGTAAATTCAATTATTTGTAAACATGAGAAAATACCATCTAAAACTTTTCAACCTATTTAAAATAGCCAAAAACAACATTAACTCAACTTTTAAACTAAAGAGAAAACTTAATTGGTGTTTGGAATTGATTTTTGTAATGTAAAAATGAAATCCAGGTATTGTCTTAAGTTTTCTTGAAGACGTCCATATTATATGCAATTACAGCAGAGGTTACCAAAATTAAATAACAGAAAAAATCTCAGATATCGTGTATTTCCAGCCAGAGGACAATTATGAAACAGAAAGAGCCAAAACGAAAAAGTTTTAAAAAAGTACAGGTTCAAACACGAGTTGAAAATTACCTTTCTTTTTAATTTTCTACCCAAACAGAGGAAGTTGAAACGTCAGGGAAAAACGGTGGGGCAAGCAGTCATACCTGGCAACTTTAAGAGAAGATATAAGAGAAGCCCATGCGATTCTGGCGTATCGTTTTACTGATTCACTATGCTCACGTGTATACTCTTCAATCGACCAGTGATGTCTTAACGCAAAGTAGTTTACCGTCGTTTCTTTCAATTTTGGCTCATTATCCCATACCGAAATTATAAGTCGCGCTCAGTAGAATATAAATTCAACTGATGCTGACATCATACACTTGATTTGAAGAAGAAAACATTCCCCATCTTCGAAAATTTGCTCAAAACATCAGGAACAACAACGAAGGTCACAAGCTGTCTGAAGATACCACTGATTAGCATGCGTTTTGATCGTCTTGGAAGTTGTGAGAACATCCCCCCAGGTTCCAGACCCCGTCAATTCTTCCCCTCCCCCCTCCCCACCCTCCAGACTCTCCTAAGTCTCCTTGAAGAAACTCTTCTACAGCCAGTGCTGAAGAGTCTTATTACAGTTTTTATTCTATATAACAAAGGGATGGAAAATAAACTAACGAGAGCTCCGCTTTTAGGCTTAGCTACAACCATATATTATTTGAACTGAAGCTAGTATCAAACGACGATTGGTAAAGTCAAGGTTTGAATTTTTCCGGGCCTTAGCGTAAGAGAAAACCCAGATGAGACACGACTTACCTCCTCTTCTTTCGCGGATCCTTTGCGGTTCGCTTCTCTTTGTTGATGACCTCTTTTCAGTCTTTTTTCTGGAGCTTCTTTGCATTTCCTTCTCTCGTTGCTCTTCGCTTGATATTTGCCTTTTCACTTATGCGTTTTCTAGTTCTCTTTCGCGTTCCTTTATTTTGACGTCCTTTTGGCGTCCTCTCAAGCTTTCTTGTGCGTTTTTCGCGATTCGCTTTACACCTTTTACTTCCTGCCTTCTTTGGTCGTACTGTCCTCCCTCGCTACCCCTGGTCGTACCCTCGCTCCACGAACTTGAATTATAGCAATTTCCACCGGTTGACAAAGCTTTAGCTCTGCCGATACTGTTGCTCTGCGAGTTGATTAGAAATTCCAAAATACTGGGAATTACTGTTCAACTACAACCTCACCAGTTTGATTTCCCGCTCAAAACGTTGGTTGCTAATCATTTGCTTACGCGCCTTCACATCTACTAGCCCACATGTAACCCTCGTATAATGCCTAACCGTGTACCAGCGGTACGCTGCACTAAGGTTCGACACTCGAGTATGCGTACTTCATGGTCGTCTTCCGGTGTCTATTGGCGCACACTGATGGGGTATCCAAATTACGAACGCAATCGCGCCTGCGCATTGCCTTCCTCCCCAGCCCTTCCAATACGTAATGGCTAAGATAGTGCCAGCAATGCAGTTGGCCGCGCATGCTAAAAGTAGCACCTTGTACGGTTGGTCGTACGGTCTCAAGTCCTATTTTTTTCGGCTTGATGGGTTACTCCTATTTCGTACAAGTGTTGCGCACGTGTTGTGCTCAAACTTCCGCTGGACAAGAGTAAGGCTATAACATTGACGTGCCCGTGGTAGAGTTGGCCGCGCATGCTGAATGTAGCACCTTGTACGATTAATATTTATTGATATTAATATTTTTGAAGGACGATTTAAAGATTAACGAGAGAGGGGGAGAGAGAGAGATCATAACTACATTTAAAAGACCACACAGTGACGAATAGAGAATTTCAAATAATAACCGATCCATCATGATGATAATTTTTGATAAATTTCCATTATTCTTTTGACAATGCTCCATTGAAGATTTTTTGCTAATCGAGCACGCTAGGCAAGTGTCTCTTGACCATTATGGAGAAACCTAATCAACTTGTGCTCTGTTAATTTGTATCAAGTGGGACCAAGTGCCATCAGAAGAAGCTGATGAGGACAATTATGAAACAAGGATCACATCGTCAGAAAACTTGAACACTGCTGGCCTAACGTAGACCCTGAATCTCAGATCATTTACATGTCCTCCACCACTGCCAGAAAAGCCCAAAGTCTTGGAATAATCACAAAAGAGTTCGCTGCTCTGATGAATGGAATAAAGTCCATGGTCTTGCGTCGAAGGAAGACTGTTTGTCCAATGGAGGTAAGTGTTCTTAAGTCCATACAAGACACAATAAAAACCGCGAGTGTCATTTTCAATGCTAGTGGTACGTCCTAAATACAGTTTACTGATAAATAAGTAAAACTAATTAACTATCATCACCCAAATGGAGGTGGCTAATGGTGGATGTTTTCCAAGCCGCGATGAGAGGGCATAAGACAGTATGGCACAATAAGTTGATTTTAACTCATTTACTCTTGTCTTAAAGTTCACATGGCAACTAGGTGGACAATCAGACATGGTTTGATGTTACTTTGGTTTAAAGATTTAATGAATGTAACCGAGAAGTTACAATTCATAGACCCAACTTCTCGACACTTCTGTCTATTGCCTTCATCAGGGGTGATCTAAACGCTGCAACAAGAGGTCCTTTCATAATCACTAATTAGCTGCCTTTTTTTCTTATGAGGTGTAAATAGGCCTCAGGAAGTAAGCCGCCATCATCACCCTTTAAAGGGGCGTGGGCGGAGTAGATATGCCAGGCTTCCAAGCAAAAAGGCGCTGGTGGCAACGCCTATTAGTGTGATAATTTTAGGCTTATCCCACCCAATTTTATGGTTGGTAAGGTATGTATGCTCCGATAAAGCTAAATTTTCTTTTTTGCAAAAGAAAACCGACGCTATTTATTCGATTTCGAGGGTTCCTTCAAAGCTATATCATTTTTTTAGGAAATAATAAAGTGAAATAATCTACATTTTATCTTTTAGGTTGCTTTATCACCTTCTTTCACGCATGGTGTTTCACACGAAAGCGTTCATTAATAATTCGTCCAAAGATCGTCAGGAAGTCTTCGACAGAGTGATTTTGATTTAATGAACATCTCCTTGGCACTGAGGAGAAGGAGAATTCAGTTGCTAAGGAGCTACATGAGTACCTCGAAAACCAAACAGAAAACGCTGTCACCTCACTGTCAAATACCTCACGTCTTTAGATGTTGTGCAAAAATTCGCTTCGTGGACGTTGGACGATACTCCACGGGCGATGGGGACTGGGAAGTGACCAAAATTTACATCCAAGAAGCATTAACGAAGCGAATCCAAGAATTTATTGCAGAGTGTGGGAAACGTGAACAAGTCTTTTCCGGCGTTCGTGGCTCTCTAATCTAGCGCTTTCAACAGCGATACAGCTATGTCGTGGAACAACTTGAAACCTGGAGAGCTTCGTCATAGCAGAAGACGTGCCTGTTCTAGCAAATGACTGCTTGCCTTCAGAGAAATTTTTTGTGGCTAGCAAAGTAGTAATCGGGGTCACAAGTCCTATTTGGGTTCCAATTGGTGTGGTTGCCTTCGTTCTCAGCGTTCCAGTAGTCGGGGTTGTGGCCATGAAAGAAAAGTTAGGAAATTGGAATACAACAAGAAAGTACGAAAACGACTAATGTGGCTTCATGGCAAAAACTTCTTTAGAACACCTACTTGAAGCGGCTAAAAAACAGAACCTGAAGTCTTTAGTGGTCGAACAGCTTAAGGAGG